CAAAATGAGACAGCCATCAGGACACCTACTAGCGACAAAACCACTAGAGATTGTGGCTATGGACTTTACGTCGTTGGAGCAATCATCGGATGGGACGGAACATGTGTTGGTAATGACTGATGTATTCACCAAATGGACTGTGGCGGTGCCCACACGAGATCAGACTGCCAAAACAGTGGCAAAGGTCTTAATAGAACATTGGTTCATCAAATATGGCATACCAAGACAATTACACTCTGACCAAGGAAGGGCTTTCGAGTCAGAAGTAATTAACCAACTGTGCAGCCACTACGGGATCAACAAATCTAGAACAACCACATTTAATCCGAAAGGAAACGGACAGTGTGAACGGTTCAACCGCAGCATGCATGATTTGCTGCGTACCCTAGAACCTGAACAGAAAAAACGTTGGCCGGATTTTCTCCCAGAGTTGGTATATCTATACAACTGCACCCCCCATGCCACAACCGGCTTTGCGCCACACATGTTGCTGTTCGGACGGGAGGCTCGACTCCCTCTTGATTTGTTCCTAGGAAAAAGGGAGAGTATGACTGGCTCATACACCGCACTGGATAAGACCCATCGATCACGCCAAACCGGATCGGTGGGCGAATATTGCTCAATTAAAGAAATATTGGAATAGGCAAGAAGAGCAGTTACACACAGAGAAACCTAAGACAATTAGGGGACCGGAAGTTACAACGGAAATTCACATACCCATCCCGGAACCATATCACCATCAACAGAACAACCGCGATACACAAGTGGAGGATAACGGCAACAAAGAGGATCCCGTTCCTTCCAGAAGCAGAGAGACAGTAGACCATCAGATAAGTGGTCCGCGGAGAAGTTTGAGGAACAGAAGGAAGACGAATTTTTTTGTCAGCAACCATCAATTCTTTCATGGTCGCGCTGGTATGAGAACAGACGGTTCAAAAAAGCTATAAAAGTGAACTGGTGAAGGCACCAAACGAAAAGGGTGGATGTGAATTCTAGAACTGTTTTGTGTCTCAGGAAGATGATGTAGACACAGTTGATATGTGAAATAGGTATAACTGTCAATCGTATACGAATGGGACGACGTGGACAGTGAGTGGAACAATAAAATTTTTTTTACGATTGTGCGATTGACTTTGGAGGAGTGCACCTGCCAAGCGTTGTTTGTGGTTGAAAACACACAAAAAAAGGCAGGGGTGGATGTAACTAGGGTAGGCCTAGCTACTAGTTACAATCTGATGCAACTGATAACGAACGATAAGCCGCGACGCAGTATTACAGTCGGATGCAACTGATAGCAGGTGGCTTATTAAATCGGACTGATAACAATCTCAAAGCCAACGCGTGCTATTTTGGGAAACGGTACGAGGGGATTCAGACGGCCTGTCAACTTTGATTGATAGGATGCAGATGTTTTATTAATCGGACTGTACGTTAGAACTGCGCAACTAGTAGTCGGAGACATCGAGTACAAATATCGATTACGGATGAATACAAGTACGAATACGAGTACGAATACAAGGGATAAATAGGAGGGGACGGCTGAGCTCAACCCTTTTTCGATCGCTCGCCCTTTTTCGATCGCTCGCTCTCTTTCGATCGCTCGCACTCTCTTCATCGCTCGCTTTAGATCAGTCAGTCTGTGTGACATATCAAGTTGGAGATAGAACGGGTTAGCCGTATTGTGTTAAGATATATATATATATAAAGCAAAGTGGTCAGGTGCCCGGTAGGGCACTTCCCGGCGCCGATGGTGCCTTCGGGCGATAGAACACGAAGGCCGGTGACGGTTGGCCGAAACGTCTACGGGGAGGGGGTCAAAACTGACCTCGACTGACCGGCGCCTTATATGGGCTATATTACGAAAAAAAAATTTCCTCCGACGACCCCCCTTGAAATTTTGTGAGGTGGTAGGAGAACGCGTTGGGGTGTCACAAAAAACTCGCCATGTCCGGGAAAAATCGGGAAATGGGTCAAAACTGACCAGTCGTATTTCCCTATATAATCTTTGTATTTTATGGGAAAAACAGAGGGTCATTTCAAAACGGATTTTAGGGCACTTACTCTCTTAACATCTGGCTAAATTTTTGCATGCTCTTAGGTAAATGGCTTGACCTTTAGGGAAAACTGTCGGTTTTACTCAGAGCCCTCGACGAGGGCTAAAAAGTGACCGCGAGTGAAATTCTCTTTATATGAGCTCTATTACGAAAAAAAAATTCCTCCGACGACCCCCCTTGAAATTTTGTGAGGTGGTAGGAGAATGCCTTGGGGTGTCAAAAAAAACTCGCCATATCTGGGAAAACTTCCTAAAGGGGTCAAAACTGACCAGTTGTATTTCCCTATATAATCTTTGTATTTTATGGGAAAAACAGAGGGTCATTTCAACGCAGACTTTAGGGTACTTAAACTCAGTATATCTGGCTAATTTTTTGCATACTTTTAGTTCAATGGCTTGACCTTTAGGGAAAACTGTCGGTTGCACTCAAAGCCCTCGACGAGGGCTAAAAAGTAACCGCGAGTGAAATTCTCTTTATATGAGATCTATTACGAAAAAAAATTTCCTCCGACGACCCCCCTTGAAATTTTGTGAGGTGGTAGGAGAACGCCTTGGGGTGTCACAAAAAACTCGGCATATCTGGGAAAACTTCGTAAAGCGGTCAAAACTGACCAGTTGTATTTCCCTATATAATCTTTGTATTTTATGGGAAAAACAGAGGGTCATTTCAACGCAGACTTTAGGGTACTTAAGCTCAGTATATCTGGCTAATTTTTTGCATGCTCCTAGGTCAATGGCTTGACCTTTAGGGAAAACTGTCGGTTACACTCAAAGCCCTCGACGAGGGCTAAAAAGTGACCGCGAGTGAAATTCTCTTTATATGAGCTCTATTACGAAAAATTTTTTCCTCCGACGACCCCCCTTGATATTTTGTGAGGTGGTAGAAGAACACCTAGGGGTGTCACAAAAAACTCGGCATATCTGGGAAAACTTCGTAAAGCGGTCAAAACTGACCAGTTGTATTTCCCTATATAATCTTTGTATTTTATGGGAAAAACAGAGGGTCATTTCAAAGCAGAATTTAGGGTACTTAAGCTCAGTATATCTGGCTAATTTTTTGCATGCTCCTAGGTCAATGGCTTGACCTTTAGGGAAAACTGTCGGTTACACTCAAAGCCCTCGACGAGGGCTAAAAAGTGACCGCGAGTGAAATTCTCTTTATATGAGCTCTATTACGAAATTTTTTTTCCTCCGACGACCCCCCTTGATATTTTGTGAGGTGGTAGAAGAACACCTAGGGGTGTCACAAAAAACTCGGCATATCTGGGAAAACTTCGTAAAGCGGTCAAAACTGACCAGTTGTATTTCCCTATATAATCTTTGTATTTTATGGAAAAAACAGGGTAATTTCAACACAATTTTTACGTTACTTAACCTCTGTACATCATGCTAATGTTTTGCATACACTTCTATAGATGACTAGGCCGTATGGAAAAACTGTTGGTCAGACTCAAAGCCCTCGACCAGTGCTAAAAGATGACCGCGAGTGAAATTCTCCTTATATGAGATATAAATAAATAATTTGACGATCGATCCCGTTAATATTATTTGAGGTCGTAGACCGACCCTGGAGGGTAACAAAAAAACTTTAATCCCGTCGGAAAAAGCTATTGTAGTCGTTAAATATGTTTATATATCGTATTTTCTTATATAAGCATAGTAACTGTTTGTTTAAAAAAAAAGTAAACACAGAGATACGTCATTCGGTTAATTTCCAAGGGAGGTAACCTTTTTAAATAATTATTTTTCAAATAATTGTATACTATTTTAAACAGAAACAGAAAACGACAAAGTATAGCATTTGTTTTAGATAAAAATAAGTTATTAATTAAGCTACGTATCATAATTAAATAAAAAATTAATTTTAAAAGTCAATGTAATATAAATTATGAGATATACTGTTCATGGAACCTCTGTAGTTCTATTTCCATCTTAGTTATAAATTGCGTACTTTCGAACACTTTGTCTGACAGCTGATGTTAAAGAGCATAGGCCTACAACATCTTCTTTAAAATTAGCATTACTGTTTACATTTAAGCACTCCACGCCTCATCCATCACCTAATAATTACTATTCAAATTATCAAATGTTTTTGAAAACCTAAGCGAAGCTAGGCAGTATGCCTAGTATATATATATATATATATATATGTGTGTGTGTGTGTGTGTGTGTGTGTGTGTGTGCGTGCGTGCGTGTGTGTGTGTGTGTGTGTGTGTGTGTGTGTGTGTGTGTGTGTGTGTGTGTGTTTGAATATGTACATACATAAATATGTAGGCCTATACATTCACTTTCTTCAGTGTTTTAGTTATGAACTTTAAAAAAGACAGTTCTTATCCTTCATTCCTATATACATAAATATACATTAATTTTCTTTTGAACTTGTTCTAGTTCAAACTTCGGTATGGCAATTTTCATCCGACATAACCGATCGGTTTACTTGTGTGTTAGGAAGAAAACTAGGCAAGTTTTAGGATGTTTTAGTAACGTAGATATATAGGGGGCAGGGGTCTTCGACAAATTCCTGAAAGACACTTGCCCGAATGCCGTTTTCCCGAAGGCCGTTTTCCAGAATAGACACTTTCCCGAATACGACAAATGCCCAAATGGACACTTGCCCGAATGCGACAAATTCCTGAAAGACACTTGCCCGCATGCCGTTTTCTCGAAGGCCGTTTTCCAGAATAGAAACTTTCTCGAATACGACAAATGCCCGAAAGCCAATTGCCCGTCTTTTTTGAAGGAGACGACTTGAGGACGGTGAAAAAATAAAGAATCTTTTATTTTGGTTCCGATGATACTCCTAGTGCGTCTTTTGTAGCACAATGTTGCAATAAATAAAGGAATATTTAATTTTTTTAATTAAAATTTGTATGTCTTACTCCCAATAATGACTGGAAATTGTATTTATTTAAGAAAAAAAAAACCCAATGCCAATGTGGCAACTCACCCAACAAGACATCCCAATTTTCCGGTGTACCTAGCAAATCGGGGAATCCCAGAATTTGTGAAATGAGAATCCCGCTGACAATGGCAAGCTGGTGAAGCACCCCTACACCACCGCGAATATTGGCGGGGCTAATTTCTGACAGATACATTGGACTTATTCCAGTGTAGAGACCTAGGAAGAAAATAGGCTCAGTCGTGATATTTTTATCTGACAACGTATTGATTTTAAACTATCAAGAAATGCTAATTCCTAAATATTTCATTTTAAACAATTAAATAAATAAATTATATATGAACTTTAAATTTAAAAATAACCCGAGTTTTTTAAATAAAATATCCGACTTAATTTTCCGAAAAAAAGTTAAAAAACTGAAATATTTTTACCTGCATAATATTTTTCCTGCATTTTATTTTACCTGTATGATATTTTACCTGTATGATTTCTTAACCCGTATGATATTTTACCTGTATGATTTCTTTACCTGTATGATATTTTACCTGCATATTTTACCTGCTTGATATTTTACCCGCATGGTTTGTTGTCAACATGATTTATTTTTACGTGCATGATATTTTGCCTCACATTAATTCATTACCTGCATGGTTTCATTACCCGCAGGATTTCTTTACAAGTATGATATATATATATATATATATATATATATATATATATATATATATATATATATATATATATATTACCTGCATGATTTCTTCACATGCATGACTTCTTTATGTGTATGATTTCTTTAACTGCCTTATTTCTTTACCTGCCTGAAAGTCTATGACGACCCTCCCCAATGTGACTTTAACTGCCTTATTTCTTTACTTGCCTGAAAGTCTATGACGACCCTCCCCAATGTGACTTTACCTGCCTGATTTCTTTACCTGCCTGAAAGCCTATGACGACCCTCCCCAATGTGACTTTACCTGCATGATATATATTACCTGCATGATTTCTTACCTGCATAATTTCTTTACCTGCATATTTTACCTGCATGATATTTTACTTGCCTGACTTCTTTACCTGCCTGATTTCTTTACCTGCATGAAAGCCAATGACGACTCTCCCCACTGTGATCATCTCGTATGAGCCGACACGTCTGCTGGCGAACATGAGAGCCGAGCCGACGACCCCGATAATGACATTGGCCAGTGATCCAAGTTTTCTGGGGAGTAGGTCCATGCAGTGGTCAAACTGTTTCAGTTAAACTATCCACGAACTATCACATGAATTTTAGGGCCCGTGACATATCCCCTTGTATGGCGAGGTCGTTGAAACAGATAAACTCTACTTTATCAGTTCTATGTATCTTCGGCACACACGAGAAAAGATGTTGAAATTTGGGACGTTAGACTCATTTTAATTAGAACTTTAGAGGCGATTGGTAAATTATAACAATAATTGTTGCACGAACCTAAAGCCAGAATATAACTGGAAATTTGTGAACGTGATTAAATTAGGCGACTAATTATAACCGGAAATTTAGAGCGATGGAAAATATTACACGAACTTTGGGAATGACAGACAAATTATTACCAGAAATTTAGGTAATATTGTCTAAATATAGCGGGGACTATTAGACTGAGGGTTGTAGACTGGAGCTTCTTCTAACCCCCCCCCCCCCCCCCCCAATTGCCCCTCCCAAATACATTGACATATAAGATTAAAGACCTGCCCAGTTTGGTTGCCCACCAGCCGGCCAGGAAACCGCCCAGACAACCGCCGGCTGAGAAGATGGACACCGTCAGAGCCCAGAGGTTTCTCGCCGTCTCATCCGTCATGCCGGACCCGTGGCGCCGGTGTTGGGTGACGTTCATGAACTCTTTGATTAGCTGGTGGGAGGATGTAATGGAAAATGTTCAGTTTTGTGTCACATTTAACATTAGCAGTAAGGCAGGTGTTCATGAACTCTTTGATTAGCTGGTGGGAGGATGGGAGGGAAAATGTTCAGATTGTAGAAGATTTGTGTCACATTTAACATTAGCAGTAAGGCAGGTGTTCATGAACTCTTTGATTAGCTGGTGGGAGGATGGGAGGGAAAATGTTCAGATTGTAGAAGATTTGTGTCACATTTAACAACGGCAGTAAGCCAGGTGTTCATGAACTCTTTGATTAGCTGGTGGGAGGATGGGCGGGGAATTGTTCATTTAAATGATGTATGCAGCAATCACATGTTTAATAATATATACAGAAACCACATTTTAATTATGTAAACAGCAACCACATTTTAATGATGTACACAGCAACCACATGTTTAATGATATATACAACAAATATTGGTGTAATCACTTTGACAACAACCACGTAATTATAAACACAGCAACCAATTGTTTAATACATGTACACCACGACTACATGTTTAATGTACACAGAAACCAATTGTTTATTGATGTACACGACCACTACAACTACAAGTCTAATTATGTACACAACAAACAATGTGTACTGATGAACACATCAACCACTCACCGACTCTGGAGCATTGATGACACCAACGTTGTAACCAAACTGCAGGGATCCCATGGCTGCCCCAAGGATTGTGAGCACCAGAAAGCACGTGACATTCTAGTTGCCATGGATACAAGATGAATAAACGTGTAACAAATTGAAACACTATCTATGTTTAATAACAAAGCAACAAACCACAACGCCTTTTTTTAGCCTTAGTGTCAGCCCACCCACCCACCCCCCCCCCCCCCCCACCCTCCCCAAGAGCGTGTTACCCGGTGCAATAAGCACTTATCGCCCTTCCCCATCCATTGCTAAGGCTACTAAAATCTGGATTTTAGAGTACTTTACTTGAGACTTAGAGCATACATTTCCTAAAGTAGTGTGTAGACATTGAGCATAAACAAACATTTATATTTTAAAGGACGTGCTTTATATTTTCAAAATACACAGTTCTAATCGTATTACTCAGATTTAAGTTTCTTTTAATGTAATCTTCTAATCCGAATTTTAATGAAATTAACTGCAACTCTTTGCAATATCGAAATTCGTGAAATTATTATTTTGATTCAAGACAGTTTCGTATTTGTTTTATTTCTAAAAAAAAAAGTTAATTTCTTTTTAATTTTAAATGTAGACCTATATTTAAAATGCTTAGTTTACGTAGTTACTTCACATGTATAGATTTAATTGGTAAAGGCCTTAAATTAAAATAGTTGACATAACATAAACAACAATGTATATCTTTACACCCCAGGCCTACCTGTCTGGTTGATTTGTGTTTAACTTCAAATTTGAACTTAGCAACTGAACATGGTTTCCCATTGTGAGAGGCATTATTCTTGTCTGTAAGTTGCTGATCCATGGCGTTAAGAGAATGCGCTTACTTCACACAAAACCCAGTATATATTAAACAATCGTCCAAGCGAGGGAAGAAAATCCATAAAGTGTATTCATGCGCTTATGTAAATAGTCAGTGTTTCAGAACGTTGGAATGTTAGGTTTTTATTTTAAAACTTCGAACGGACTTGGTTTTCGGGAAAAATAAATGTTACGAGACGACACCCCGTTGTTTTATTTTCTACTTTTCAGTGATTAATAATTTAGGAATTCGACACTAAAAATGCTGCGACTGAAAATACTTTGCTTTAAAACACTATCAGTAACTCATGAAGGGCGATTATTCTCAACCCCCCCCCCCCCCCACCCCCCGTGAGTGAAAGCAGCCGTCTGTTACGACAGTTTACAGACGACAATTAAAAGATCAAGCAGAACTTGTTCCCTCCTCTTAGTTTCAAATCGTTTAACAATATATCTGCCCCTTGATGGCCGTCACTAATTCGACCCGGCTCTACGATTGTAAACATTCGGCGTGAACCACAGCTCACCAGACTGGTGGGGGTGGGAGTGATAACAATATGGTCTGTTGCGCATGCCTGTAGAGCGAGGGAGGGGGCGGGGGAGGGTTAGATAGTCGGCCTGCGTGCTTGGTGGTGTCCAAGTAGAGAATTATGTATATACGAGCCGACCCGCGACGTATCATAAGCCGATATTTAGTTGTTTTATTTTCTACTTTTCAGTAATTCATAATTTGTGAATTCGACAGTACCAATGCTGCCACTGAAAATATTTGCTTTAAAACACTATCAGTGGGTCGTTAAGGACGATACACCCCCCACCCTCCTTTCCCCAACCCTACCCTACCTTCCCTCCCCGTGAAAGCAGCCTCCTCTTAGTTACCTCCCCTAAGTTTAAAATCGTTTCAAACTAAATTATCTGCCCCTAATAGCCGTCACTAAAACCGGCTCAACGATTGTAACATTTAGCGTGAACCACAGCTCACCAGACCATGTGGGGGTGAGGGTGGTAGGAATATGCGTAGAGAGAAAAAGAGAGGGGGCTGCAAGGCGCGCTTACAGCTTGGTGTTTTCTAGCGTCTCCAAGAAGAGAATTACTTTTATATATATATATATATATATATATATATATATATATATATATATATATATTTTATTTATATTTATTTTATATATATATATATACATACATATATATATATATATATATATATATATATATATATATATATATATATATATATATATATATATATATATATATATATATATATATATATATATATATATATATATATAATTTATATATATATATATATATATATATATATATATATATATATATATATATATATATATATATATATATATATATATATATATATATATATATATATATATAATTTTTTTTAAATGTCGAAGGTATGAGGAAGTATAGAGAAACTATTATAGTCGTGCAAAAAATTGAAATCGAGGTTTTTTTTTAAAATATAGACGGAAAACTTTGTTTTGCAATTTGTTTCTGTGAGTGTTTTTATCTGTCTGTCTGTAAACACAATAATTTAAACTCCGTTTGACTAAATATCATATATATTATCAAATTTGTAGTTATAGATTAACTTGCGATTGATTTCCAGTAACCGGAAGTGGTTTTTACTCTATTTCCAGTTTGTGAAAAGCCAATAAATTGATTACCGTCGAATTTCACATATATGGATCTGAAAGATTTCCAGTAAACTGAAGTGGTACTTAACATTATTGCCACGTGAACACACTAACTCGAGTAATGTTTCAATCAGAAAGACGAAATGTTATTATATATAAGTAAAAGATCCGATACTTAGATTACTTTTCATGTTTGAGTAATTTTCCATATGTGATTTTCTATATATATTTTCCATTTCTGGTGTCTTAAATATCAAAAACTTGAAAACCACTTCAGGTAGTTGTATAAAATGTCATACATAGATATTATATCTTATGTTGCCATGGAAACGGCGCCCATCTTGAAAAAAACTACCTATTGAGGAGGTCTCACGGTTAAAAAATTACACATATATTTTGATCATATAATCATTGATCCTTCTTTAACAAACTTTAATAGTGTCAAATTGCTAGATTTTGTAAGAAACAAAAAACCTAGAAATTTATTTCTTTTCAAATTTTCAAAATTGTGTATGGTGAAATACCCGTAAATTTAGCAATCCCTTCCGTATTTGTCAAAATCGTACTTAAGAGACTTATTAATTTTTAACTAGGGGACGGCGTTGCCTAAGGGTAGAACGCTAAACTGTAACCCCGAAACTATCGAGTTCAAATCAGTAGACCACACTATCCCTTCATATGCTGAAGTCACAGAAACAGGTGAACTCTACTTTATTTGCCTCCGTGGACCGTCAAGTTCGAAAAGGGCACTTTACTAGTTCTTTAATAGAACTAAGAAAAAACATCCTTATTATGTATACATTGCAATTTTTGCTTTGATGTCACCCCCGCTGTTGTCCACACCTTTGTTCAGATACTGCTGTTATATAAGAATAAACGAGAAATTTCCCACTTTATTTTCACGTGTAACGCTTCTCTTTTAAACGCAGCGTAAAGATATAGTTGAATAAAATGTGTCGTAAAATGACGTCACTTATTCATTTGAAACATAGGTGTCGGTGTGGTCGAGTCGGTAAAGCTCATGGTTGCTAAACTGAAAAGTATCGAGTTCGAACACTCAGGCAGATGAGGCTCATTAACGAGGGACATCAACTCTTCTTGGAGAGACAACTCCAAAATCAAACAACTGCTGCCTTGTGGTTGGGCAAAGGTTATGGAAGCAAATCCAAAATGAAAAGCAGACTGAAATCGGCGCATAACAGTTGACACGTATACTTAATTGTGCTGGAGGGGGGATCCCTTCCAACACTAATATTAAGAACGAAGAAGAAGAAGAATCCAAAATATCAGAACTTACAGATCTATGAATGCAGCTTTTCTTTTTGTTTTATTTTTAACTACCGGAGTTATTTTTACTCAGACTATTTCATTAAACAATGTCTTGCAGAAACAGAGAGAAAGCTCAATAAAAAGTGTATTATCTCCATTGTTAAAGTGTTTTATTACGACACAACAAGTGGTATTGTTATAGCACATAACAAAAATAGTTTTTTTTTTCAGACGATTTTCTTAGGGGAGGGGGCAACTGAAACTTTCGGAGGTGGGGGGGGGCACGGTTTAAATTTTACTGGCTAGGGGAAAATGATAAAAGTATATATTTTTATGTAAATTATATTTCTCTTTTAGGGAAGGGATGACGAAGGGATGGTAAAAGTAATTTTTTCTACATAAATTTTCTTTCGCGTGTGGGGAAGGGGATTGGGAGGGGGGTAGACGTGCTTTCGGGCGTAGCCTTACCACCAAGCTATGCCTGAAAGAAACTCTGGTAACAAATCGGTCAAGGTTATGATGGAACCGCAGCAATGAGCGGTCAGCTAAATGGGGCACAACAATATGTTGATTAGATATTTGATTGGGTCGTTTACGTCAAACGCATATCTCATAGTCTAAACGTAGCTATTTCTGATGAATGAGAATTACCAGCTGTTAAGCCCTGTATGGGGAAAATCCTAAATCGAGAACTACGTACAAACACACACAGACACACACACACAAGACACACACACACAAGACACACACATATATGTATATATATATATACTTATATATATATATATATATATATATATATATATATATATATATATATATATATATACCTATAATTTTTTACAAAAATTGATATGGAAATTTTACATAAAAATGGTAACAAATATTTAAATAAATTTAAAAAGTACATTAAGTAAGATGAAACAAATAAAAATTATTTTTAAAACAAACAAAATAATACAGTGTTTAATTGATCTGATTTTTCCCATCTCCTATATCTGCTGAAAATGCTTCGTTTGTGCTGCCATACTTGATACTTTTGATTTCCGGTTCACCTTTGACTTTGGTCCCTTTCACATCGTGTATTTTGTTACGGGATAAAGGTTTAGCGTTCGTTTCGTGGCGACTGTCGCAACTGTCATTTCGCCAAAGGGCAGTGACCTCGTCAAATGTTTTCCCTTTTGTCTCCGGGACTTTGTAGAATGTGAAAATAAAGAACAGGACCAATAGCACGGTGAATGGTAGGAAAGTGTAGTCCTTTAGTCCAGCCTGGAATAGTAGGGTTATTGCTTTAAGAATATTATAAAGGTTCTATAAAGCTCGCTGTGACGTCGAGAAAAAAAAAAGTAAATTATGTCCCTTGTACACTACTCTATTAGTCTATACCTAGCCTTCTATGAGCGACTGTTAAACGCAAAACTCCACACGTTTATACTAATAAGCCCCACATACAACACCCCACACGTCACGTTAATAAACCCTCTATACAAACCCTCATCTTCCTCAAATAAGCCCTTAATGCAAAACCTTACCTTGCTCATAAATAAGCCACCACACACAAAATTCCCTCCCATTCCGTTAATAAGCCTTTCATACAAAACCCTACCAACCACACTATTAAGCCATAGTACAAAACATTATACACACATATAGTAATAATAAGCCCTACATACAAACCCCACCTCTATACAAAACCCCAATCACCACACCAATAAGCCCCTCAAACAAAATCCCACCCAACACACGAATAAGGCCCTCACACAAACCCTCCTTCCCCACCCCCACACATGACCACTGTGAGGGTTACCTGGAGACTAGGAAACACGAACCCAACCAGAAAACTGGAAACCCAGTTGACCAACACACAGACGAATAAGGCCCTCACACGAACCCTCCTTCCACCCCCACACATGACCACTGTGAGGGTTACCTGGAGACTAGGAAACACGAACCCAACCAGAAAACTGGAAACCCAGTTGACCAACACACAGACGGACATGGCCGTAGGTCGGGCATCATGGGAGAATAACTCTGAGACGATCAGCCAAGGGATGGAACCTGTACAGAGTAACGACATTTAATACTCAAAATTTGTTTTCATCGCAACATTTAATTTAATTTATAATAGCATTATCGTATTATATTTGAAAACATATGTACATAAACTTAAGATGGAGATTTCATTAATCTTATGCAAACATCGAAAAAAAATTATCAGTATGTGTTTTATGTGAATATATATTGCCACAGTATATATAAAATCTACAAACTAAAAATCTGGCCAGTAACGACAGCTACACATTTTACAGTGCATTCTTTTATATGAATGAAAATTACTAGAAATATTCGAACTAATACACAACAATTATAATTTACCAGTTATATTTGTTCCAAGACTCACATAAACAATAAAAATTACCAGTAATACTCAGAAAAGAAATAAAAATTATAGCCGTAATATGCGTTCTAATACACAACGAATGGGAAAAAAATATCAGATGTATCTATACTAGCTTCTAATACTCACCCGGGCCGAGAGCGAAGAAGACCACATACAACAACATGAGGACAATGCTGGCCACATCAAACCACGACACGGAGCCCTAGATGACACAGAGAAGAAAGCGAGTTAACTCTGAATCATGAGACTACATCGTTGAGTGCAGTTCTTCCCCCATAATCTCCAAAAGTAAGCGGGTTAACCCAGTGGCGTAGCTTGGTCGGGTGTCACTCGATACAGCACTTCTTGTGTGTCACCCCCCCCCCCAACATGAAACAAAGTATATATATATATATATATATATATATATATATATATATATATATATATATATATATATATATATATATATATATATATATATATATATGAGTGTATGTGTGTTTGTGTCGGCCTACATAGACATATACGCCGCATAGTCGTACAAGTATGTATATATGCTTATATGCTTTTTAGCCTTGGTGTCACCTCCCTAAATGGTGTCACTCTGTGCGGTCCGCACTCCGCACTCCCCGCTCCGCCCTCGCTTCGCCTGTGGGTTAACCCTAAACCTTAAGTAGACTACATAGTTGAGTGCAGTAATGCCCACATAATCTCCAAAAAGAAAATGATCCGATCAACCTATTGCGGAAATAAAATAATTGGTGTAGACATTGAGTTTAGCAGTTGTCAACAAGTGTGCGAGAAATGCATTGCTCAATACGGATTTACTCGTATTGGAGAGATAGAGGTAGGGAGAGAACAAGAATGTGTCAGGGAAACAGAAAGAGAGAAAAGAGAAAATGATATAGAAAAGAGAGAGAGAAAGTGGGGAGAAAGAGAATGAGATAAAGGGAGAGACAGATAATCTCGCAGCATCTACACGACCTACCCGTAGAGCCAGGGCGATGGTTATAACAAGGCTAAAGACGGCCATCCCCCCAAGTCCGGTCAGGTGAAGTGTCCTCCTGCCCACCCTGTCCATCAGCGGGATTGTGATGATTGTCATGGCAACCATGATGCCGCCCACGGCACTGGTGATGTATTTGGCGGTTGGCTTGGACAGGCCAGCGTCCTCAAACAGGCTGGTGGAGTAGAAGAAGACCTGCGGGACACATTGGAGTTAAAATGTTTTAATTATTCCATCAGTAAACAGTTGAGTAGGATAAATGTTAATTATTCCATCGAGAAGAAAATGTTTTAATTATTCTTTTAGTAAACATTTTAGTAGAAAATGTTTTAATTATTCTTTCAGTAAACGTGTCAGTAGAACATGTTTTCTATCAGTAAACATTTGAGCAAAAATACTTTAATTATTCTATCAGTAAACGTATCAGTAGAAAATGATTTAATTATTCCATCAGTAAATATGTGAATAATTTTTTTTTTAAATTATTCTATCAGTGAAGATTCGGAATAAAAGTTTTAACTAATAAACAATAATCAATAAGTTTTAATTTTTAATTGCTTGGCAAATTTAATCGAAGATGTGATTTTCAGAAAATTACACATGCATTCATTACACTTAATTATAGGCCTGCATCAGAAAATTCTGGAAAAACAAATTCTAACAGCTCCCGCTAAGCTTAACCCTTTGAGATCCGAGAAATAAACAATGAATTTTTTTAACGTGAAAATCACCATCCGGAAACGTCTCCACAGTTAATGTACGTACTTCGAATTATCTACACCTCCACAATTATTGTGCGTACTTCGAATTATCTACGCCTTCACAATTAATGTGCGTACATTAACATAAAACTTCGACTATTTTTTCACAAATAAAATAAAACGTATAAATTGTGTCCTGTGTATTGCACAGTAGAAAAAAACCAACACCTACACCGTTTATTCCTGATAACTGTTGCGACAACTGCATGACGACACCAATCAACATGGGCGCCCGCAGAGAAGGTGATCTGAACAGTTGTAGGATCGAAACCTGCACAGAAGGTAAATACATTACGTGAACAGCAACACATTTTTTTTTAGAAAAATCATCACCTTCGTTTACGTAAGATGAGTAGAAAAGAAAACTGGACATAGTGCTGATTACTGATTACACTATCCTTTTAGGTTCCCAAAATAAAAATGCGCTAACGGAATATTGCGCAAAGGAAAACTGTGCAAACAGAAAAATGCACAAATACAAATTAATTATACTAATACACTTAAATTATGTCTTATTTCGTGCAAAATGTTATGTTATGTGTTCATTCTTTTTTATGTCTATAAATGCTCGTTATTTTTTTTTAAATGCCTTTGCACTCTTTTGTGCGCACCTTTCCATAACGCAGTTTTCCGTTGCGCAGCTTTCACCTATCCCTTTGCTGAGGTTGGGGAAACGGATGAACTCTACTTCATCTGCCCGTATTTACTGTCACTATTTTTAAAAACAATTTAAACGGGTGTAGTGTACTCGAGATGTAGAGTACTCAATAGGAGACATTTGTCGAGTTCGGCTCCCGGCTCTAAACTATAGGACTACCAACCTACAGAGCTACAATTGGATGTTTTAGACTGCTGGGTACTGTACTAGACCCAATGATAGATTAAGCTGCGGCCAAAATAAACAGAGGATGTGCATAACTCTCCATGAGACAGAGGCGTAGCGAGGGGGGTGGACGGGGGTGCGGACCGCACCGGGTGACACCATTTAGTGGGGTGGCACCAAGGCAAAAAATAGCAAAATATATAGAGAAAAACTTGAGGGGGTGGGTGTGCAAACCGAATGTTTGAGGGGGGATGCAAATCAAAAGTTTGAGGGGGGAGGGGCGCAAATCGAAAGTTTGCGGAGGGCGGTGCATATCGAAAATTTGAAAGTTTGTCCCCGGGAAGGGTCGCTACGCCTCTGGGAGGTGACACCATTAAGTGCCGCACCCGGGTGACACCCGACCTCGCTACGCCACTGCCATGAGACATTCAGTCCCAGCGGACTTCTATTTATTCATATGCGCCAAGTTTCTTTAAAAGCTTGAACCTTTCACCAAGACACATCTATGAGCAAACACCAAAATAACAAATATCTAATAGAACCAAAAACGTAACAACTTTTGAAATACACATACATGGCTGCCGGTTTTACATGACATCATTTCCTGTTTGATTTCATCCATTTCATCTTCAATATCTTCACTACCGCGTAGCTTGACAAGCGCTGTGTAAAAATATCATTATTTATTTTATGTTTATTTTATACATGTCTATATTAATATGCCAAGTTTAATTGGTTATTTAATTAATTATTTATTTACATAAATTGAACCCAAAGGATCACCGCTTAAATTCAAAAGTACTGTGTAAAAAATATCATTATTTATTGTATGTTTATTTTATGCATGTGTATATTAAAATGCCAAGTTTAATTGGTTATTTAATTAACTATTTATTTACATAAATTGAACCCAAAGCATCACGGATTAAATTGAAAAGTGCTGTGTAAAAATGTCAATATTTTAAAAATTTTACTTTATATATGTAGGCCACATAATATAAATATGTCATTTTAATTGTTTAATTAATTAACTATTTGTTTAAATTAATTGAACCCAAAGCATCACCGCTTAATTGAAAAGTGGAGTGTGAAATATTCATTATATATTATATATTTACGAGCCGACCCGCGGCGTATCATACGCCGCTATTTAGTTGTTTTATTTTCTACTTTTCAGTAATGCATAATTTGTGAATACGAATGCTGCCACTGAAAATATGTGCTTTAAAACACTAACCCTCCCCCCCTTTCCCCTAACCCCCACCCTACACCCCCCCCCCCCCCCCCCCCCGTTAAAGCAGCCTCCTCTTAGTTACCTCCTGTAAGTTTCAAATAGTTTCAAACTAAATTATCTGCCCCTAATAGCCGTCACTAAATCCGGCTCTACGATTTGTAAACATTTAGAGTGAACCACAGCTCACCAGATCATGTGGGGGTGGGGTTGGGTGGTAGTGATAGTGATAGTGATAGAGAGGAAGAGAGGGGACTGCAAAGGCGCGCTTGCAGCTTGTTTTCTAACGGCTCCCAGAAGAGAATTATATATATAGATGTTATCCATGTATATATAAATATGCCAAGTTTAATTGTTTATTTAATTAACTATTTATTTATAATTAACTGAGCCCGAAGCACCCACCACACACACACACACACTATGACGCACACAGATATACATAATATATAGATCTATAGTTCTACATACAATCTAGACTACTTCTCGATTGTTTTTAACTTTTAATTCGCTATTCTTACGAGATTACTATATCTATATTTTACTAGGCCTAGATCTAGCGCTGGAGTTTCCCATTTTTTCCTTTCCCATTTTTAGGTCAATCACATGATTTTTTTACTACGTAAACAAACGGCAATTCAGGCCAAAAAAAATGTCTTTTTTTTTCAAGCATAAAATTGGGTGGTTAGGAAATAAACACGTTAGCTAGAAATAGATCTAGGTCGTAGTTATAGGCCATGTGACTAATCAAACGTGACCTATTTTCCGATGTTGACACGGATTTCTACGTGGGCTGAATTTGTTCAAGGCAAATATATTTTAATAATAACTTTTTAATTCGATCTAGGAGTACGTTTATGGGTGTGTTTTATTTTAGTCTTTGATTGTATTCAGGTCTGAAGTACTTGAACTTACCGGAATCACAAAATTATAATCATTCACTAATTAAATTACCGTAGATCGTGTGGCGGCTATTATATTTGCCGAATTTCATCCCTAAATAAGTAAATTCTTAAAATGTGTCAAGGACGTTTAACGCAAATAGATTATTTAATCCAAGGTGAATAACTAGTATGTAAAGGGAAGCGACTCTCAGTCTAATTAAGCTACTGAAAGTTTATCGCGCACTTTAAAAGTGCTACATCATTGATGAAGCGCTTTAAAAATGCTACATCATTGCTGAAGTGGGGTCACGGGGCTAGTTAGGTGAAGGTGGAACGGGCTACGGTGATTTTTTTAAGTGTTTCTCATGCTAGATAATATTATCAGATTTATTCTTTACATCAGTGAATTCTTTATTTTTTTTTTTTTGTAAAAAAAAAAATAGGTGCCGGTACTCAACGATGGATTGCCTAACTTTTAACTACCAGTTTGCACCTCGATGCAAGCTAAATCACAACTGCAAATTAACTAAATAAATAATTAACAAATTAATAATATAATAAATTAATAATAAACATTAAAATACAAGAAAAGTAATAATTTTTCCCCCACATTGAAAAAAGGGCTGGTATGCGGTACCGGTGCGTACCGTCACAAAAAAAGTACTACTTTACATAATTTACAAAGTTTATAAACGTCCTTCAAGTACACAGATCAAATAAAGAAGCCGACGCCCTCTTTTGTCGAGGAAACCAAAACCAAGTAAAATAATTAAAACCACAATTATCTATAAACTGAGGACAATTTTTTCTTCACCGTCATGGTCTCTTTCCACACGTTTATTTTTATTTCTATGACAAAAGAGCTTTTATTTAGGTCGAAGGTAACAGTAGGTGAACCCAAAATAACAGATGTTCATTCTTCCCACAATGTGTAAACTATGCAGTTGTTTTGGTTTAATCCCAGCTTTCTATGTAGATCTAGATCTAGTTTTAATTGACAGAAGATCTAGTCTAACATTTTCATAAACTGCTGTAAACTAATGTGTTGATCCAGCGGAGGTTGGTCTCATTTCATATATTTCGGAAAACGGGTGGATTTTTTAAAAAGAAAGACGAGATTACTAATAAGACAATGTATTTAATTTAGTCGAACACTATGCTGTAATTACCTGAATATTGAATTTAATAGACCACTATTTTGTCATTTTCTAATTAACATCCCCCCCCCCTTAAATCTGCATTATAGATGCACTACTCCTTTCGCCTCCCCCCCCCCCCCCCACCCCATATGTGCTAATGACTAACTAGATATTTTGAAAATATTAGCAATTAGTATTTATAAAAGTAGGCGGTGTTGTTATACACCATTCCCCCCCCCCCCCCCCCAGTAACTTGAAGAAGCTTAGGGACACTATACACACTATTATTTAGCTACCTTGCAGCCAACACACTAGGTCACGTGTGGCCCATAAACCGCCGGGCTTGTTGTTTATGATGAGAGAGAGAAAGAAAAATCAATATTTCTTCTTTGTTGCCGGAAATTACTTTTTAAATTAGCAAATTTACCATCTCGACATTTCTTCTCGTCCTGTTTGGTAATGAGCAAGTACCGGGGACTCTCCGGGCAAAAAGGTAGAATAAGTGCTTGCAGCAGACACGGCCCCACCGACAAACCTGTCAAACAAGTGATTAGGTTGTTGGTTTATGGTCAGTCGTAAATAGAGATCTTAGAGGGAAGCTAATTAGAAGTATCGATTAATTGCGTTTAGTTAAGATGTGGTTTTCAGGACAATCATATCATAAATATGAAGATCAATGATCAATGATTGATGATCAATTACGCCTTTTAAATTATTTTAGGATATATTTTTTTTTTTTTTTTATTTTTCTTCCAACTTTTCCGATAAACTATATTTTCTAAGCAATGGCGTGGTCGACTGTAGAGCGTTTGGCTGCTAGCCCGAAAGTCTAGAGTTCAGATCTCTTATGGCAGATAAAGTAGAGTTGGTCTGTTTGAATTACCTCGGTTTAAGAGGGATAGTGTGGTCAGCACTAAGTTGGCACGAATAAGGTACCCAACATAGCTCGGTGGACTCCGTGACGTACTACAGACTCGAGCCCGGGATCCAAACTGGAGACTTTTAGTGTCTCATTTGGTTATAATGCTGTCATTATCGTGCACTACGTTAATTAAATAAATTGTTACGCCCAAAAATGGCTAGAAATGTTATTTATTTTAGAACAAAAAATTGCCAATGTGGCAACTCACCCAACAAGACATCCCAATTTTCCGGTGTACCTAGCAAATCGGGGAATCCCAGAATTTGTGAAATGAGAATCCCGCTGACAATGGCAAGCTGGTGAAGCACCCCTATACCACCGCGAATATTGGCGGGGCTAATCTCCGACAGATACATTGGACTTATTCCAGTGTAGAGACCTAGGGAGAAATATGCTCAGTCGTGATAATTTTTATCTGGCATCATCTTGAATTTAGACTATCAAGATCTGCTTTTTAAAATACTCCATTAAAACTTTTAAAACAGCTTAATAATTTACTTTTGTGTGAATATTATTTATTTTAAAAAATAACGTCATCAGTAACGTAAAAACAGACAATTAAATTACTCGTTTAAAATTCTAAAAAATATATAGATGGTTGGAAGAACTAAGGACTTTTTTTTTTGAAAACTGTAATCTTTAGCAATGGTGTTTAGCAGTGAAGGTAAATATTACGAGCTCTTCGTTGTTGTTGTTGCTGTTGTTGTTGTTGTTGTGGTTGTTTCTGTTGTTGTTTTTTTAAATATCCATTTATACCGTATTTATAGGGGAACTGTCGTCCTACTGAAAATAATATGCCTATAGATCAGTAGAATGCCAACTAGAGCAGTAAGCGGAGATGACAGTGGATGGGGCGATTCGGATTACATCATCCATCAATGTTTTCAACAGCACACTTGTATTCCCAGTAAAGTTGTGATTGTTAAGAATATTTACCTTCTTTATTTAGTTAAATGCATGATATTTTACCTGCATGATTGCTTTACCTGCCTGATTTCTTTACCTGCATGAAAGCCAATGACGACCCTCCCCACTGTGATCATCTCGTATGAGCCGACACGTCTGCTGGCGAACATGAGGGCCGAGCCGACGACCCCGATAATGACATTGGCCAGTGATCCAAGTTTTCTGGGGAGTAGGTCCATGTCGTGGTCAAACTGTTTCGGACACTGGTCAAACTATCACAGTGCATTTTAAGACACTGGTCACTCTATCATGTGACATTTAAAGACTTTGTAGAAATAATCTAGCAGGAATATTAGAGACGATGGTCAAACTATCATTTTAAAAACTCTGGAAAATAATTAAACAGGAAGTTTTAGGATGGACAAATTATGATGGGAAATTAAGGGACAATAGATAAATTAAGATTTATAATGGATAATGGTCAAATTATACCAGAAAATTAATGGATGATGTAAAAATATAATAGTAACTTTCAAGACGTTGAGCAAATTATAACAGGAATTTTTCGACCATGAACATATTATAACTGGAAATTTTGCGACCATGGACAAATTTCTAACAGGAAATTTCAAGACCAACTGGAAGTTTGGAGACAAATTATAACTGACATTTACTTATGTTTTTAAGTAGATGGTACTACAGTTTACTATTTTAACATTTTTTTAAAAATAATCTGACTTTTTGAAATTATATGTCGCCATGTTAGATACTCCCTATACCATCTCCCCCCCCCCTACACATTACATGAGTAGATAAAGCGTAAATGTTGGATAAGATTAAAGACCTGCCCAGTTTGGTAGCCCACCAGCCGGCCAGGAAACCGCCCAGACAACCGCCGGCTGAGAAGATGGACACCGTCAGAGCCCAGAGATTTCTCGCCGTCTCATCCGTCATGCCGGACCCGTGGCGCCGGTGTTGGGTGACGTTCATGAACTCTTTGATTAGCTGGTGGGAGGATGGGAGGGAAAATGTTCAGTTTTGTGTCACATTTAACATTAGCAGTAAGGCAGGTGTTCATGAACTCTTTGATTAGCTGGTGGGAGGATGGGAGGGAAAATGTTCAGATTGTAGAAGATTTGCAAAACAACCAACAACAACAGTATGTCATGTATTCAGGAACTCTTTAATTAGCTTATGAAAAGATGGGAGGGAAAATGTTCAGATTGTAGATGATGTGTATAACAATTAGATTAGGGTTTTTAATGATTCACATAACGTGTCACCTGTTGTGTCATAAAAAGACCTATTAAGATAACTGGTTAAAGAATTTATGTAATTGAATTAGAGAATAATGATTATTGGGTTCGTTTTGTTTTGTTTTTTTGTTTTTTTAATTTATTTTTTTAAATAGAAAATAATTTTCGTATTTTGTTCGTTTATTGAAACGGAATAGAATTGAATAGGTGTTTAATAATGTACACATCAACCACATTTCAATGATGTATGCAGCAATCACATGTTTAATTCTGTATACAGCAACCACTTTTTTAATTATGTACACAACATCTACATATTTAAATTATCTACACAACATCCACATTTTAATGATGTATACAACGACCACATGTTTAATGATGTATACAACAACCACATTTTAATGATGTATACAACAACCACATTTTAATGATGTATACAACATCCACATTTTAATGATGTATACAACAACCACATTTTAATGATGTATACAACAACAACATTTTAGTGATGTATACAACAAAAATTGGTTTAATTATTTTGACAACAACCACGTGTTTAATTATAAACACAGCAACCAATTGTTAAATACATGTTTAATGATGTACACCACGACTACATGTTTACACAACAAACAAATATCTAATGATGTACACGACCACTACAAGTTTAATTATGTACACATCACACACATGTGTACTGATGTACACGACCCCTACTCACCGACTCTGGCGCATTGATGACACCAACGTTGTAACCAAACTGCAGAGATCCCATGGCTGCCCCAAGGATCGTGAGCACCAGAAAGCACGTCACATTCTAGTTGCCATGGATACAAGGAGCGTATAAATGTGTCATAAAATGAATTATTTATGAATAATGAATTATTAAGTAGGTGATGTAAAAATTAAATCATATTTGTGAATATATAACAGTATTGAGCACGATTAATTGCTAAAATGCGTACACTGTAGTCCCAAAATATGCAGTTTTCTGGATCACGTGATGAGGCGTACTAAAATTAAAAGCTTCCATTAAAATTTCTGTTAAAAATTCCACCTCGTGTCCACGGGAAGTGAGGAGCATATGTAAATCTTTTCGTGTTTGTGCCCAAGACGCATGGGGCAGAGGAAGTAGAGTTAATCTGATACAGTGACATATGAAGGGATTGTTTGGTCACCCTCCTTTATTTACCCTATCTAGTGGACTTGGGATTTTTCTGCTAACTTGAATTCGGATTCGAACTCGAGACTTATACGTAAAACTTACCAATTTTAAAATGTAGAATTGCCTGTTTCTATGTAAAGAAATTATATATGACTTTGTTTACGCAATTTTTTTTACCTTTATTGTTTTTTTCCGCCCTATATTTGGGTTTTTGCAGAGCCCTAAGTTGTTATACCTCCCATTCCATTAAAAATTCCTAACTACATCACAACGAAGGAACATGTTGAGTATAATTTTTTAATGGAAATTCGAAGATATGTGATATTTAAAATCTGATATGTACACTATATCCTTACACATATTTTTTACCGTAAAAATATTAACTGGTTAAAATGATTCATCAAGTACTACTTTTTTTAAAATTCTTTTTCCTTTTTACTTTCTCGTATATACGTAGTATAGAGAAAGTATTGTAATCGTGCAGAAAAAAAAATCGAGATTTTTACAAATCTCGACGTTTTACACCTCACTGATACGGAAAAACATAATTTTGCAATCTTGTCCGTATGTCTGTGTGTGTGTGTGTCTGTCCGTGTGTGTGTCTGTGTGTAAACACGATAACTTGAGTACCGTTACAGCTAGGTTGATGAAATTTCATATATAAGTATTTTATCAAAATCGTAGATCCGTATCAACTTTTGAGCGATTTCCGATAACCGGAAGTGGTACTTTTCCTACTTTGAATTTTTTAAAAGCCTATAACTTGAGTACTATTTCAGATAGATAAATGAAATTTCACATGTAAGTAAAAGATCTAATTCTCTACCTTCTGTTAAATTTTGAGTAATTTCCGTTGACTGGAAGTAGTAATTTACGCTACTTCCGATTTCTCAAAAAACTAATGTAAATTTTAAAAGTACTAATAATATTGCGCACTATTATGCGCTTTTTTTTATTTGCGTTCACTTGGTGTGCAATTAATTTGTCTACGAGATTTTATTCTATTTTTAAAACTTTAAGTATTTAAAATGGATTAAAAATCATGTCTATAGCCCGAGTTCCCATCCCCTGTTATTTTATATAAGAATATTCGAGAAAGTTTAGGGGAGATCACTCCCGGTTTATTTAAATCTGCTAGGGATAGTGAGCGCGGAGTGATACATTTGGCGTGCTAGGGATAGTGAGCGCGGAGTGATACATTTGGCGTGCTAGGGATAGTCAGTGTCTTCCAGGCATCTCTTTCGGGAGCCCCCCCCTCCCTCGTAGGGGGAGGGGTGGGGTCCGTAATTTTGTGACGGCGTGTGATGAGGGGGAGGGGGGGTCAGATGGTGGGACGTCACATTTTTTGCATTAACAAAAAGTAAAGTTGGAAAACGAATTTTAGCCGTTATTTCACGTTTTAGAAAATTGTTTTAATAAATTGTAATAGGAATTGTTGGGAGAGTTCAGACAAGATTTTGGAAAATTATCGATGTTTAAAAAAAATTCAACTGCAATTTTGAGGGGGGGGGGGGTTGTAGACTGAGGTGTGACGTCATTTTAGAGGGGGGGGGTCTGGCTTTTTGTGACGATGTGGGACGGAGGGGAGGGGGGAGGTAAAAATCGTCAAAAAAGCGTGACGTCATTTATGGATGACCCCTTATATAGAAAATATGTTTTTATCAGTGTCCACCCCCCCCCACCCCCCCCCCCCCCACCCGAAAATATCAAGTGTCTCTCTTCCCCCCCCCCCCCCCCCCCCCCCGGAAAAAAATTCTAGAAAAAACACTGGGAATACTGAAGGCGGAGTGATACACTTGGCGTGCTAGGGATAGTGAGGGCGGAGTGATACATTTGGCGTGCTACTGGTGCTACTGGTGCTACTGGTGCTACGAGGTGAGGGCCAACACAGGACCACAGGGCAATCAATTAACCTGCGGTCAGTTAATTTGTTTAATTGAATGCATGACACGTTGTCGTCACACTTAGTTTTAAAGGCAGAGTGTAGTAAGGATGTCTAGACTAATTACCAGCAGTGTTAGATACCAACAGAAGTGTATGACAGACAGACACGTTAGATAGTATAGAGTACACAGCTCCCTACAGTAATGTATAGAGAGCACCTTGACATTAGATATTGAGTATACATTTACCGACAGTTGTGTATAGAAACGCTTTAGACATTAGGTTTATTATATTTTTAAAAGAAGGTAAATATGCTCTTTAAAGTATACTCTTTAACTCAAACTAATTTGCTTACATTGTTCACCGTTTCTTATAATTTAATTTAATTCAATCTTGTAATCCGAATTTTCAATCGAATTAATGGGAAATCTTTAAAATATCTGATTTTTTTTTAAAATTATTATTTTGATTTAAACCAAATTCATAATTTTTAAATTATAATATATTGTATATATTATAGGCCTATATTGCACAACATACACAAAGTAACAATCGTTGCGTGTGTTGTACTAAATTGTGTTCATTGGTTTAGGACTTAATTAAAATAGTTCACGTAACGTAAACAACAATCAATACAGTAAAACACAGTCTTACCTGTCTGGTTGATTTGCGTTTAACTTCAAATGTGAACTTAGCATCTGAACATGGGTTCCCATTGTGAGAGGCTTTAGCCTCGTCTGTAAGTTGCTGATCCATGGCGTTTAAACTCTAAAGAATTTGGTTTCTCTTCATAATATCCAGTGTGTTTTGAACAATGATCCAAGCGAGTGTGTTGGGTTAGGGAAGAAAATCCATAACGTGTATCAGAAATGTTAGGTAATTGTTAAAACGTGAGCAAGTCTAACGACTTAGTTTTTAAGAACGTGAGAAAATTAGGAAATAATTATTAAAACACCGACAGGGCTTGGTCTTTTATAAGAATAAATGTTAGGTAATTATTAAATTTTAGGTTGTTTTTTTTTATACGCTAATATTGCTACCCAAATTACCTAAACCTGACCCTAAGCCTCACTCTAATATTAGCAATTTAAACCCTAATCCATACAAAATACAATACCAGTAGATATAGTCCTGTCGGTGTTTTATAGATACCAAAAGTTTTCAAACAAGAAGTGTTCTTTCAAGCACTTGGTATAATCAACGCTAAAGAGAGTGTAGTATTAAAACAAGTTTTCCTAGAGTGTTTCGTTATTGAAGTAAATCCAGTTTTTTAGAACAACAGCTAGATATCTAGTAACGTTACACTCCTTGTAAATACTTAAGCTGAATCCACATTCTGAAAATTGAAAAAGTGACTTATTAAGCTCAGATATTGATGAAAGGAGATATAAAAATTAAAGAAACTGCAACAGAGCATCATCAATTGAGTTTTTTTTTTCAACTGGTAAACTAATATTTAACACAAATATAACACAAAAATGGTATACCCAAGGGTTGCGAGAATAACTTTTGTCACTGTTTAAGTCTACTTTGTCAACCGCACGATACAGTTGGATCAAATTGTGCCTTTAAAATACGACATCGCTCACTAATTTAAAATTTCAGTGTTCACGTGCCCGTGTGCAGTTGTGTCCCCTTAACACTAAAATAATTTCTCCGACGATTGTTTACCCGTATCAAAATGTCAAATAATGCAAAAACAAAGAGAAACTTTTTTTTTTGTAAAGTGCATTACCTCCCTTGTTGAAATATTTCAGCTCAGCACAACAGGTGGTTTTATTCTAAAACCTCAACATTCTACACAAATTTTTCCCGTTGACATTAGTTTAGTGGGCCGTGGATGAATTTGCAATGTTTATCTTACAAATATTAACTCGTTTTTTAAAACAGAATTGACAAAAAAAATTGGTTTTGATGCTGTGTTTAATAAAATATAACTAGCTGTGCTTTAGATTAACTTGAAATGAGTTAAGTTCAGAACTTAAGGTAGTTGCAACGAGTAAAGGCTAATATCCCCTAAAAGATACCGGTACGACACTGCAGTCGAGTGAAACACGTTTTATAGGTTTCTAACAATGCTGACGACTTTAGAAATTAGCACACAATAACATTGGGTTAACACGCCTCCATTTGAACTCCAGCATAGGCCAGCGTAGGAAAACAAACACTGTGGAAGCATGTGTGTCAGTGAGTGTGTGCGTGAGTACACCACAACTATATCCACGCCACCGCTAGCTGAGCATACATTTACTCACTCGCATTGTCAGAATTGGTGCAAATTAAAAATCCGGCTCGCGTTGAAAAACATTTTCTTGGCATGAAATAATTTAGTCACACTTTTTAATAAATATTTCACAACGAAACAATCAAAAACTAACATCACATCTTCAACTTTGCTTTAAAAAATCAAAACAACGTTACCGGTAAACCTACCCCAAGTAGCTGAAGGCATATCCGTGCAGTGTAAACAAGCCGCGAGAAATAAGACGCGTTAAGGCCGCCACTTGGCCCGGCTGTGGTGTTGTGTTTAGGACAATGCCCGTTACGTCGCCAGTTGGCCAGGTGATTTATGCACCTGGTGGCGGGGCGCTCAGCTGGTGATGTGTGAGGCGTTGTGCGACTGGTGGTAAAGTATGACGAGGCTGTCTTGTCTATTGTGTGTGGTGTGTATTTTGTGAATGGCTCTAGAGAAGGGTGAGGTTGTTTTATACAAACGCATACTATTATTTCAATAAATTATTGTCTCTTCCTAAATATTAGTAAAGATATCCAATAGATAATAATTAATATAGTGACCAACGCCTTTCTTTATAGTTATTAAAATAGTAATGTTTTATTTAAGGAAAATCATTTATTTTCTCATGTTTAGTGCGTACAAGATTGTTATTAAAACGTTATATATATATATATATATATATATATATATATATATATATATATATATATATATATATATATATATATATATATATATATATGGGTGTGTGTGTGTGTGTGTATATAAAGAGAATATTTGGAGTACTATCACATACACATGTATTTTGGTGCCGATTTTCTGCAAGTTAATAGTCACACATCTTAAAAACTGAAGTTGATTTTTTTTTCTAACCTAAACTATTCCGTTTTTCTTTTTTTTAATTCAATAACAATAATTTTCTGCTAAAACATACTTTCTGAACAAACACTCACCCCTCGTCACACATTGTCACTTAAGTCCGACAAACACCCAGCCCCCTCCCTCCTCTTCAGAGTGTGAAGTCCTTTACGGACGAACCCTTTCTATATATAATCGTTAATATTTTCACTTTTTATTCTAAAATACCGAAACCCCTGCTACATTAACAAATTACATTTAACAAAAGTATTGTCTTCCAAATAATCATGTCTGTGAACTGAAATATCTACCTTATATGCAACTACCAATTATTATTAATTGCATTGTTATGAGGAGAATAAAATCAGTGTTAAGACATTCATAGCAATGTTAGACACATTGCTATTTCAACACGACAGAGGTATTTTTAAAAAAAATAGAAATAAAGAATATCATTCCAATACCTCAACTTTACACGGTCAAAAATAGCACGGTGTCGTATATTGCAAATAAGGAGGTGAGGGTTAGGGTTTTTGTGACGATAGGTAAGAGGGGGTAAGAGGGGGGTAAGAAAGTGTGGCGTAACAATTATATATGATTTCTCAAAGACCACAAATGATTGAATTATGGTTATTTCAGAAAGGGGGTTAAGACTTTTTGAGACAACATTTGACGATAGTGGGGTGGATTATAATCGGCTTTTAAAGTACGACGTCATTATTATATGGATAATCCCTTAATGAAATAAAACTATCGGTGACCGGGCGATCTGCAGGCATCAACGGACACCTGCTTTATGACGCCCAGACATGTCGGGGCTGTGCCAGTGACATTAACGTTAGGGTTTCTTTCAGACATTTTTCTCCTGGGGGGGGGGGGGGCGTGAAACTTCCGAGAGGGAGGGGCGGACAGTTTATATTAACTATATATTTTCTATATTTTCCGAAGCTGGTGGTGGGCGTGGTTCCGGAAGGGGTGGAGATTTCCCCACTCTCCCTCTCCCTCCCCCTCCCCCTCCCCACGGGGAGAGATGCCTGAAAGAAATTCCAATAACTGTTACAAACAAGCCAATCAAAGATTTCGTGTTAGCAATATCTGATTCTCATCAGGATTTGAACTCACAGCTCTCGTGTTAGCACTATTTCTTAAATAAGACAGCTCTCGTGTTAGCACTATTTCTTAAATAAGACAGCTCTCGTGTTAGCTTTATTTCTTATATAAGACAGCTCTCGTGTTAGCACTATTTCTTATATAAGACAGCTCTCGTGTTAGCTTTATTTCTTAAATAAGACAGCTCTCGTGTTAGCTTTATTTCTTATATAAGACAGCTCTCGTGTTAGCACTATTTCTTATATAAGACAGCTCTCGTGTTAGCTTTATTTCTTAAATAAGACAGCTCTCGTGTTAGCTTTATTTCTTATATAAGACAGCTCTCGTGTTAGCACTATTTCTTATATAAGACAGCTCTCGTGTTAGCACTATTTCTTATATAAGACAGCTCTCGTGTTAGCTTTATTTCTTATATAAGACAGCTCTCGTGTTAGCACTATTTCTTATATAAGACAGCTCTCGTGTTAGCACTATTTCTTATATAAGACAGCTCTCGTGTTAGCACTATTTCTTATATAAGACAGCTCTCGTGTTAGCACTATTTCTTATATAAGACAGCTCTCGTGTTAGCACTATTTCTTATATAAGACAGCTCTTGTGTTAGCGTTATCTCTTATATAAGACAGCTCTCGTGTTAGCACTATTTCTTTAAAAAGACAGCTCTCGTGTTAGCTTTATTTCTTATATAAGACAGCTCTCGTGTTAGCTTTATTTCTTATATAAGACAGCTCTCGTGTTAGCACTATTTCTTATATAAGACAGCTCTCGTGTTAGCACTATTTCTTATATAAGACAGCTCTTGTGTAGCTTTATTTCTTATATAAGACAGCTCTTGTGTAGCTTTATTTCTTATATAAGACAGCTCTTGTGTAGCTTTATTTCTTATATAAGACAGCTCTTGTGTAGCTTTATTTCTTATATAAGACAGCTCTCGTGTTAGCTTTATTTCTTATATAAGACAGCTCTCATGTTAGCGTTATCTCTTATATAAGGTCAGCCAGCGTCTTTTTTTACAGCTCATTAGTCTAACTTGCTTAACTACATACCACGGCTGTTCAAATATTTAGCATGTTTTGTTATTGTTTATTTTATATATCAGATTGCATGCATGCCGTGTGTGCTATAAAATTGGCTGATTGTTATATATGGCCGTTAACACAGCATAGTCGCTTGTCAACAGCACACCTCTATAAAAATGATTTGTTTTTATAACGTTCCAATGTTTTTCCCCAAGACGGTCGTTAATCTAAATTCGTTCCACTGATTGGGGAAAGGAAGGTGGGGGGGGGGGGGAGTGAGTGTTTCCGAGGATTATGTAAAATAATGTCTGGATTCTGTTGTTTTATTCTTGGATTGTAGGTTACACCGTTACAGAGGCGTAGCGAGGGGGGGGGGGACATATGTCCCCGGGCGCCGACCTTGGGGGGGGGGGCGCCAAAATGGGTTGGAAAAACAAATTGAAGGTTTGAGGGGGGTGCAAATGAAAAGTTCAAGGGGTGGGGGTGCAAATCGAAAGTTTGAGGGGGGGGGGGTGCAAATCGAAAGTTTGTCCCTGGGCGCCGGGAAGGGTCGCTACGCCTCTGCACCGTTATACGACATTGTTACTGTTATCGAATGCTAGCTCTGACTTTGAAGAGCTCCAAGACAATCATGATGAAAGTGCAGACATTCAGCAACAGATGCCTAAGAAATATTTTCCATATCCGTAGGCCAAACAACATACGAAACTCCAACTTCTAGCAAAATTTAAAAACAATATTAAAGGGGCGCTATAAAAACACCAACTCCAGTTTTCTTAAAATAAATCTGGAGAAGGCGACCAGTATTTGTTTTAGGCATCTCTTTGAAGGTGCAGTACTTAGTTTATTTTAGTTTATTTTTCACCCTAATATTTCAATTAACATTTTTTTAGGTAACCTCGTCTTTTTTTATTTTTTATTTTTTTTGTGACCTATTCATCTAATTGAAGCGCAATAGTTGGCTATATTTGCCCATACTAACTCATCTAGCTCGTGAAACAGTGCAGCTCACCTGTTTTACCTGTGTGGTCCCTAGGACCCGGGCCCGGGATCTGATCTCGAGACTTTAGGGTAATCAAGCTTACGAGCCGACCCGCGGCATATCATATGCCGCTATTTAGTTGTTTTATTTTCTACTTTTCAGTAATTCATAATTTGTTAATTCGATAGTACCAATGCTGCCACTGAAAATATTTGCTTTAAAACACTATCAGTAGGTCGTTAAGAACGATACTACCCCCCACCCTCCTTTCCCCCAACCCCTACCCCCACCCTCCTTTCCCCCCAACCCCTACCTTACCCCCCCCCCCCCCCCCCCCGTGAAAGCAGCCTCCTCTTAGTTACCTCCCCTAAGTTTAAAATCGTTTCAAACTAAATTATCTGCCCCTAATAGCCGTCACTAAACCCGGCTCTACGAATGTAAACATTTAGCGTGAACCAAAGCTCACCAGACCATGTAGGGGTGGGGTGGTAGGGAGCGCGCTTACAGCTTGTTTTCTAGCGTCTCCCAGAAGAGAATTATATATATAGATTTGTGCTCTACCATCCAACCCCGCTGTCCCCTCTGGCACCAGTACATCACAATTAATATTTATAATTTTAAAAAATTCTTTTCAATAATATTTCTTAACAGTACAACTATAATCATACTGTCGTTTTTTTTTAATTATTAAAAATAACTGCAGAAACACACGCAGAAAAAAAGCAATGGAAAAAGGTCCATTACCTTGTCAAGGAACAGCCCACTGGATCGACGAATTGGGAATAAATCGCAAAATAAAACCAGTCGAAGACAGGTTAAGTTGACACAACCAAAGACCGTCCCGCAGACGTTAAACTGTCTTTTTTATTATGGCTAACAAGTTCAACGTACACAACCCGCAGTAGTTAATGTCAAGGGCTGGGAGCTTGGTTCGCCAAGTTAAAAAAAAGATAATGTAAAGAGGATTAAGTAGGCGAGATCACTCGTGGTGATATTGTTGCTTCCCTTTATCGGTAAACTAGCGGTCTCGGATTGTTTTTAATTTTAAACTGTTGGAATTGTTTTTAAAAAATAGTTAAATTAGTATAGATTCTAATCTATTACTTTTTCTAAATTAAATAGTTCTCGGTATCGACTTGTAGTAGAATTTATTTACAGGAAAAAAATCTGGACTTTTTCATAAGCTTCTGAGCGAAAACTGCTTTATCAATCATAATTATGCTTACACACTATTGGCCTAACGTGAGTTTCTCTTTCGATAATAACGAAACAATACAGTCGACCATAACAAACGTGATATTCATATAATTCACGATATTATCCTGGACACTTTTTAAAAAAAAAAAAAGCAAAGATATGTTAAGGGATCGAAAAAAAAACCGGGCGTTTTGATATGCTTTCATTGTTTTTGTGTTCAGGGTAACAGAAAAAGTGCCCCCCCCCCCCTAGGAGAAAAAAGTCTGGAAGAAACACTGGTCGTGCTCACTTTATCCATCATAACAAAATATAAAAACACAAACTGTAAACAGACAATTTTATTTTAAATAGAACAAAATATAAGCCTAGTCGAGTTTCCCCTTACGCAAAACCAATAGACTACGCCTTAAGCTTACAATTCCTCCATATTACTTTAACGAAAATAAAAATAACCCATTCACCGTGTATTGTGTTTAAGGATGTAGATGTGGGCCTTTAAACGAGTGTAATGTGAAGCTGCCCGCATCATCACGTCCCGGAACTACTGAATCGTTTCTTGAACTGTGTGGTGATGAAGTGGGAAGGCGATACAAAAAGAAAGAAATATATTTTTGCAGCTGTTGTTGTTTTTTTTTTCAAACTATATCTTACCATTAAAGGGACTGGTGTGGATTTGTAAAATAATTCAGAGACCTCCATTTGGGGGGATGGGGGTGAGGGGGTAATCCATAAATGACGTCACTCTTTTTTGTCAATTTTTACCTCCCTTTGTTGTCATACATCGTCACATTAAATCAGACCCCCCCCCCCCCACCCCCACCCCCAAATGATGGCACACTTCAAAATTGCATTTGAACTTTTTTAAACATCCCCCCCCCCAAATATGACGTCATTTATGGAGTCTCCTGAGTAGATTTGCTAGTTTTTCTTTACTGGATAGACCCTATTTATGTTTTAGAAAACTATAGAAAGCTTAACATTTAAAGACAGCATCCCCAATTTTATATTGTATGCAGTGGCGTAGCGAGGTCGGGTGTCACCCGGTGCGGCAGTAAATGGTGTCACCCCCAAAGGCGTAGCAACCCTTCCCGGGGCAAACTTTCAATTTTCGATTTGCACCCCCCCCCCCTCAAATTTTTCTCTATACATTTTGCTATTTTTTGCCTTGGTGTCACCCCCCTAAATGGTGTCACCCGGTGCGGTCCGAACCCCCCGCCCCCCCCCCCCCCCCCCTCGCTACGCCTCTGATTGTATGGTAGGATTAAGAGCTTCATAACGGCCTCTTGGCAATTTAATAAACGAAAACTTTGATATTACAATTGCGTCACAATGTCTTCAAGACAAGGCTCAGAGTCTACTGTCCGTATAAAGAAAAAGCTTGGTCAAAAGAAACGGGTCAAACTACATCAAAGAAAAATGGACGGGTTAAATGCTAGGTGAGACATTGGAAGAGGAGACAGAGGAATGGAGGCAACTGATCAAAAGTCTACCAGACGACAAGAGATAGACAGAATGTGTTCCCGAATAAGTTTCTGTGTTTGTAGTCTTCTGGTGTATGGTAGCCAGCGACTCATACATAGTGTATCATAGCCACGATTTAGTGGGCAGCAGGTCAAAAGTTTACTATAAAAAGTAAACAATGAAAAAAATTATATTAAAAAAAACTTAAACAGCCTGTTATTTATACCAACACTAGTCTCAGAATGTTGTTCTTTATTATGACACTCTAGCTAAACAGTTGATTAATATTTTTCTTTTACTTGCATTACAAGCAGAATTTCTTCCAGAATCTCTCCAAGTAAACAATGAGGTGAAGAAACCCTTAATGTAGTAGGGTGCAGTTTATAATGACAGGGTGTCAAATCAGTAGCCTTGAAACACCTGGAATTTTAGTCTTCTGTTATCTACACCAGATTAGGTTGTTGAAAGAAAAAAAAGTGACAAAATCAACTGAATTAACAATATGTAACAATTAAGAAAAAACAAGTAAAAATAAAACTTCATACGTCTTTATTCAGAGCTATGCATTCAAATACATCATTTAAAAAAGTAAGAAAACATTTTTTTGATCATTCAGGGTCCATGCCATTAAAGTCCAGGTTTTATTATCTTGTGGCCTATAGCCAGAACACAATGTCGTGTGGTACAATAGAAGACAGTGCTTTTGTTACCATGAACACCATCTCCATAGTGGCACATTGGGTGACATGTGATACACATACAAAAGGTAGAATGTTAGCATGCAACACACAGTTTTATCATGCAGCACAAAGTTACTTGAACCATCTAATTACAATTGGTAAGGGATACAACTCCTGTTATACAATATTCAATTTTTTTAAATGTTTCAAAGAATAATTAATATATATTTTTTAAAAGGTGTAAATGTTATTTTGCCATCATCACCATCTTGTTATTAGTGGTTCTTGTACAGATTCATGAATACATTTTATGTAGACATGCATACATACAAATCTGTAGCAGCTAAAGGGTTAAAAGCATCTTTCAAACTATCATTTGATCATTGGAGGAAGTGAGTAAACTTCTGTTTTGTATATACAATTGACTGACTAGACACATCAACTTGCACACATAATTCATGTTCAATAGAGAATGTACATATGATACACATAAACAGAACACATCATTAGTTAGGTTCAAAACATTTGGCTAACACAATCTCAGGATAAATTAAAAGAATACTGATAGTCATTGTAGGTGGAAATTAAAAACAGTCTTTGTCAAGCAACTGTTATATTTTTTATACAAACAGCACTATCATTTTAGATACTAAACCAGAATATACTAGTGGCAGTGTACAACTGTAAGCTGGGTTATATTGGGTTAAGCTTTGTCTATCTCTTTAATAATCTCTTTAATAAAAGGCTAAAACCAACTAAATAGTTGGCAGCAAATTAGACAACAAAATAGAAGCCTCAATGTTTAGTTTCAATTAACTAATAATGGCACAGATCTTTCTCAGTTGCTTGTAACCAATCTATACAATTTTATATTACAAATGTAGTCACATATCTAAACAATGATTAAAATCATTTCTAAAAATTTTGGTTCTTAATTTTATCCTCACTGCACCTCTTACTAACAAATCAACATTACTGTGTTAAGTAAACAAAAAGGAACATAATATTAAGTGAAACAGTGGGAAGCTTCAGGTTTGGTAAAGTCAAACAACAATAGAGTGGAAGTAAGTCAAAACAGCAGGTACATTGTAGTAGGCAAGCAGCAAATGAGCACCATTGTTAGTGAGTAAAACAATCAAATTGGCTGGCTCAGTCTAAAAACAAAATCAAATGAATCACTGTAAAACATACATCACTTTGGTTTTTTTTACAATAGCCTAGTTGTGGCAACATAAAATTGTTATTGCTCAAGCAAAAAAAAAAATAATTACTTAATATTTTAGCAAATAAAATGATCAAACCATTTTAAAACAACATCTAAAATTCTTTTGTTAAGTTTTTTTCTACATGATTAGGCCTATATATTCACTATCCTAGATATTACATAATTATATGCATTTCTTATGTAATAAATTTGGTTATACGTTTAAGGTATTCTAAGGTAGAAAACTAAGATAATCAAGCATATAAATATCTTGCTTAAATTGAGTAACATAGGTTGATGATACATGAAAAGTTAAGTTTTTTTTTAAATGAATAAAACATTTTATAACTAGGTATACACATGACATAAAGAAGTGCTAAAAAGAAAATTTTGATTCTAAATTAATGTGCAGAATATATGAATTAGTACAATTCCACTTTTTTGTATGGTTAAAAATACACAAGAAATTTGTGTAAATTGTGTGTATAAATTAACAAGAGTGATATTCTAATAATAATACAATTGCTAAGACTATCCTGTTAATCTTTTAACATAAAACAATAATTTCTTATGAATTCGATGAATGATTTATAACTAAATACTGAATGTATAAAAAAAAACATTAAACATTAGCTGCTGACTGAACAAAATGTTACAATCAAGGCAAAAAAATTTGACATCTAGAACCTTTGTTCAGATTATTCAACAAACTTTTTTGTTGCAGCTCTTAAGTGTCACAAATGTATTAAAAAATGAACAATGAGATTTGTTTTTCAGTAATGACAGCAATTAAATTCAACCAAATAGATCAGATGTTTATGACATGATATTTTTAGAAAATCAATTAATTAGGGGATTTAAAATTGGACTGTAACAGAATAATGTTACTTCGGTAATAAAAATTACAAGTACATCTTAAGGACGGATTTCAATTAGTGGTAACCATTTTATATACACTGATTCAAAATGGTACTCTAGGTCAGATTATTTGTATTTAGTTACTGATATGGTTGGTTCATAAACATGTAATGTAATGGTTACCTTGGATATACTAAATTCAAGGATGAACAAAGGTTTTAAAAGAAAATTCTACCAGGGATTGAAATCAAATGCTTTAACTGCAGACATTATAAAAGAATACTTTTTGTTTTTAAAAAAACCATATCGCTATGGTATAATATCAATTGAGTGAAGCTATATACAATATCAGAGAGGTAGTCTGCTCCCTGTGATAATAATTTACGGCATTAGGTATCTCTAAATGCAAAGATAGCAATCTAATAGTTTAAACAAATCAAAATCAATATGGTTTAGTCAAACATCGGTTTGTTGAGAGGGTATCTTATGTGCCAAGTCTAATAAACTACCATCATTTACCTTTTGTAACTAACATATTAATACTAACTGTTCTACTGAGACTCAATGGTTCTAACCATCTCTTTTGTTAAATATGAACTGCTATTTTTTTGTCAAAGTTTATTAACTTCACTATCAGAAATATTTAGGAAATGTTCATTTCTATAAACTAGCAAATACACTGGTTAAAACTCATCATGTTTAGTTAAAGCTTCACCAAAATCTGTAGCTTGGCTTCCTACAAACAAGTCATATTTGTCCAAAATTTCCTCTTTGCTAAGCTTGCCATCCTAGTGAAATATAAAAAAAGATAATTATATTTACACTAATACACATGCAATTATAGCAATAAATTATAATTAATATATAAATTATTTGAAAAAATTATGTAAATAAAAATGTGAGTGACAGAAAACAGAGAAGAAACCTATATAGGTGACAGGTAGTTCTTTAGTTAACTAGAATCATACGGTTTTTCAAAGATATAAGTGGCGAAGTGGATGTTTCCACTTTAAAATTTGAATTAACGAAGTGCAGATACATTTTAAAAAACTGAATAAATTATCGATAATATAATGTCGCCCAAATAGCCATGCCAAATTACTAAAACGTATACCTTATCTGTATCTGATTCAAAAATCAGGTGTATAGCTTCTGCTCGTGAGTGATCATAATCATGGGGGATTATCCACTCCATTACTTCTGCCTTGTCCATTTTCCCATCCTTGTTTTTATCACGGTAATTAGCAAATTGTTCGCGTTCTGATTTAACCCAATCAGGTTCTTCTTTCCCTTCTTCTTCAGGGGTACGAGGCCACATGTCACCTATGGGTAGGCACAGAGTAGGAGTAGAGAAAAGAATGAAAAACAAAAAAGTGAAGAGTGCCACCCATGTCCATCTCTTTACTGTTCATAACTTTGTACTGACAATCTGTAATCCTTAAATCCTACTACTGGGTTTAATACCCCTGGCACTTCATTTAAAAAGAAGTTTGGATTCTGTAAGCTTGTTTTTGGTCTGATTTTTGTACTATGTAAAAGTATACAGCAAATGTAATGGATTGGGTGGCAACACTTTACTCTTATCCAAACCAACCCTATTTTCATCAGAGGATCGAATGAGGTGCTCAGCCTCGGCAGTACTATGATCATAATCTTCTGGAATAATCCATTCCCTTATTTCATGTTTATCAAGTCTCCCATCATGATCTTTGTCACGAAAATTTGCAAACTGTTCCCTTTCTGATTTCACCCAATCTGGTTCGCCTTCATTCTCAGGGTCATTTTCATCATCTTCGTCATCATCACCCCAAATATCATCTATAGCAGTAACCATCTATTTTAGTGTTTGCCATAAATAACAATGTCTTATAACAAAACAATTGTTTATAGTTTTTAAAGCTTCGAATTAAGCTACAAGAGATAGTTTCTAAAAAAAAATTTCTTTCATTTAGTAAAATTATACTGAAGGGTGAGTTAGGTTTTATTGATCAAAAAAAAAAAACTTACCAATATATTCTTGTAAACTTATATAACCATCTCCATCTTTATCAATATCCTCTAGTGTTTCCTAAAATTTATAGTAAGAAAAAAGTCAGTACAATTATTTAATAAAAATTAAATGTTTTACTTAATAGTTTTTTATCTACCCAAATTTCATAATAAAAATTACTTACATCAACAACAATACCCCTCATGTGTTCAGCTTCCTCAGGATGAAGAAAATCTTGGAACTCCTCTTTTGTCATTTTACCATCACCATTTTTATCTGCTTGGTGCCACCTTCTTTTGTCTCTCATGATCATGTCTTTGTATTCATAAGTAGGAGCACCCTCAACTGGTTCTATATTTTTTTAAAAGTGGAAAATAGAAAAGAGAATAAGAATTTGAATGAAAAACTTTTTACATTATCATTCATTATGTAAATTTCAACATAATTCTAAAACAAAAGTAATGCAAGCTTACCATCACTGTAACCAAAAGTACGTTTCTGATAAGATTCCCAAGATAGAGAGTTATCATCATCAGGTGCATGGTCTTTCCACATGCGATCAGTGTCTGTGACAATGTAACGTCTTTGTACATACTGAATCCATTCTTTCAGCTCTGGCTCTGTTACTTCACCATCTTTGTCCTTATCAATCTTGTCTACGATGATACTAAAATACATAAAGTATATCACATTATACACGGCTAAGAAAAAATAGTGGAAATGTGATCAAATATTTCTAAATTTCTAATAAATTGTCCTTTCTTACGCCAATCTTCTCTTGCTTTCTTCTGGTGACAACTGATCAAAAGTCTCTGCTTCTTCATGACCAAGAAAAGCATCATGGTCATAATCATTGTTGTGCTCACCATGAACTTCATGTTCCTCATCACTTAGAGGCTAGAAAATTGAAACAGATAGGTAAATTTTATCAAAAAATTACTCATGTAGCGGTGATTTAATTATAGCTAAGGGATATTTAAGATAATTTGCCTATGTTTGGGTTTAAAACTTATTTCATAACTTTTGATTAAGTGCTATATTTATGATAAATCACAACAGACAGCAGTATACATTTTTTCTAGACACTTTTTAATTAATATAATATATTAATTTTTTGTCAAGCACCATGCAATGAACATCTACAAACATAAACAAGTTGTCATATTAAAACAAAAAAGATTAAATATTTTTCTAAATTTTTAAATTAATATAGATTATACCTTGTCTTGGACTCTCTGTTTCTTTTCGTTTGTAGGAATGGCACTACAGTAAACAGTGGTGATGATAAACAGTACCAAAATGAAAGTATACAGCTTCATAGCTTGCCCTGATTTCTGCATCTGTTTATAAAGGGGAAAAATTAGGCCTAGATCTACTTAAAAATTAAGTAATAGATCAGTCAGGTAAGCTTCAGTTTAGTTCTTTACAAATTTAAAAGCTGTTCATGAAATCTGCTAGATCTAGATGTGGTTATTACTTTTCAGTATTCCTGTCATGCACAGTGTGACAGTAGGTCTCTGCATTTGATCTTGCCGCTTTTCTTTGATTACCATGTTTTTTGCATGCTAATTTAAAATCTTAAGACTAGATTTCACTAGACTAAGATACTAGCACAGTAGTATTTACTAGAATCTAGATCTAGTTAGACTAGTAGTGAATATAGAATAATATTATAATCAATAATCAGAGTTTCTTCCAGGTCTGGCATCTCTTGGGGGAGGGGGGAGGGGCAGAAAATATATACTAAAATTAATTTAAAAAATTATATAGGCCTAGATCTACTTTTTAACTCCCCCCCCCCCCCCCCCCCCCCCCCATTGAACAAATAAAACTCTAGAACTCTAGATCTAGATTCTACTTCTAGATTTAGATCTAGACTAGACTACTACTAGATCTAGATCTAGAAATCTAGATCTAGATTCTAGATCTAGAGATCTAGATCTAGATCTACTCTAGACTCAAGATTTCTAGTCTTAGTATTAGTAGAATAGATATTAAGATAAGATTAAGAATTTAAGAATAAGAAGACTCTTGAGTCACTCTTGACTTATGCTAAGATTGGCTAAGAAGTACTTATTAATTAATTAACTACTTAACTTACCTTAACGTGTAAATGGCTATAGGTAGTGTGAGATCAGTAATCAAAGCTTACGTGATTCAAATTAAGTTATAGATCTAGAATCTAGATCAAGAGCACTGCTAAAAATCGATTAGTTTTAAAGAAAACTTCAATATCACCGCAGCATAGTAAATCTCGTAAGCTAAATAATAAGCTCTTAACTCTATCTTAATTCTAGGAGAGCTCGGGCCAATGAAATTGCAGAAAATGTAACATGTGACGTTGCTGGCCCAATGGCATTGGTGCCAACGTGGCCTATGAATTTAATCAACCAACCAAAGCGAAAAACATTTTGGAGTCTGCTGCGTGGCAGGAAACACAACACTACAAAACTTCGTTCCACGTGGAACATTCCATAGTTGTTGCATACCTGAAATTTTTAACCAACATCATTTTTATTCTAGGAAATATGCAATAGACATATGAATACAAATCACACACTAGACTATTAACTTAATTAAGTTATAAATGGGTTTCTATTTCCTTGGAGGGCCTTTCCGCTGTTGGCACCTAGACATTAGACAACACGATAATGATAAAATCAAGATATAACCTTGATAAATAACAGGTCACATGTGGAATCTTTTTAAAAAAATCTAAACTCTAAGTTTGCGTATAGTGTTATCCCAAGTCCACACTGAAGATCGAGAAAAACTTTTAATGAGGCAAGAAGACCTCAAATGTAGGCCTACTTTTCAACATAGATTTCTTTTTTTAGATTTTGAAAAAAATATTTGATGTTTTATACACGGCACGGCAATGTATAGGAACGTATGAAGCACTGGAGTTTCAGACACATTTATTTCACTTTTTTGCTTAACCCATAACTAGATTCTATATCAGTGAGTGTTAATACCACTACTCAAAATGCAAATTAATACACAATAGCAAATCATCAGAAACATTTAGAAAATCTAAAGTAGGCCTACACATTAGATTGAGACAAGGTATCTGGTTGTGTGAACATGAAACAAACCACAGCAAACAAAGGAACTGCATGAATGTGTGGAATCCAACGGACACAATAAGCTGAAGTTGAATACTTGGATTTCGCAAGGGGGCTCTGCCTTCTAGCAAATAATCAACAACAAATTAAGAAAAAAAAAACTGCTGGTTGAAGAACGATAAAAAAGCAACTTTTTTTTTAAACCAACGTGGAATTCTAGTGCGTTGTCAAGACAAACTAACTCAGGATCTTTAGCACAGAATAGTTTATTTTATAGCCTACTGTATGGCTTGGAGACAGAGGGTAATAGACATGCAGAGTAGAACGAAATAAGAAAAAAAAAAGGGGGGGGGGGGGGGGGGGGGGGGGGGTGTAATGCACTTTCAGAGGCGTAGCGACCCTTCTCGGCGCCCGGGGACAAACTTTTCGATTTGCACCCCCCCCCCCTCAAGATTTCGATTTGCACCCCCCCTCAACCTTTCAATTTATTTTTCCAACCCATTTTGGCGCCCCTCGCTACGCTACTGTGCACGTTGGTCCGTGCAATAGGTGAAGTAGAGTTCACTTGTTTCCATGACCTCCATGCAGGATTAGTGTTGTTACGCCTTGTCGCCTTTATTTTTCCTAACATGAGTCAGGTACCCATCAGAGCTGGGTGGACTCTACTGCTCGAACCTGGGATTCGAACTCGAGACTTTCGGGTTAGCAGTCCGACGAGTTTCTTTTCAACACACACACACACACACATATATATATATATATATATATATATATATATATATATATATATATATATAGGCCTATATATATATATAGGCCTATATATATATATAGGCCTATATATAGTGCGCAGTGGCGTAGCGAGGTCGGGTGTCACCCGGTGCGGCACTTAATAGTGTCACCCCCCCCCCCCAGAGGCGTAGCGACCCTTCCCTAGGACAAACTTTCAACTTTCGATTTGCACCCCCCCCCCCCCCCTCAAACTTTCGATTTGCACCCACCCCTCAAACTTTCCATTTGCACCTTGCACCTCTTAAAAGACTATTTAACACTCGAATTAATCATTTAATTAAGTGGAATTATCATTTTTCTCTATATATTTTGCTATTTACTGCCTTGGTGTCACCCCCATAAATGGTGTCACTCCCATAAATAGTGTTAGCCGGTGCGGTCCGCACCCCCCGCCCCCGCCCCTCCCCCCCCCTCGCTACGCCACTGATAGTGCGCATTGCCCTACTGTCCAAGTCCGAACTCCGAAGAGCTTAAAATTTATTAGATTGGCCGACCAATGCTGTTGAGTTACGGCTAGGGTATAATGGCTTTTTTAATTGATCCTGGCTGCGATTTCATTGTTTATTAGTGTGTTGTTCGCTCATGTTTGTATAACATTGTATATGCAATGCGACATGGACATGGACCAAGAGAGCCGCCAAAGAAAAATTTCACACACAAGTTCGTTTCTAAAGAATAGGAAATGCTTACAAACACTGCACTAATTGAAGCAAAAACTAAACATCGTTGATAAATTGTATAACACGTAAATATGTTATCTTACTCTTATCAGAACCACATTAACATTATTAATATTATTATATAATATATATATTTCAAGACCAGTCAGCCCCATAACAGGCCCTATAATATACAAACCACCCATATGTGTATGATTGTATGTGTATGAGTATGTTTACGTGAGTGTGCATGTGCGTATGCGTTTGTGAGTATGTGTGCATGTTTACGAAAGTGTGTGTATGAGTCATGAGTGTGTGTATTAGTGAGCAAGATTTTTAGCGCAATTTCCATTCTGGAGAATTGCGTTTATTAACTCGTCATTTCTGGGAATGGATGGATGAATGTATGGATGTATGAATGTGTGTCCGGGCTTTAAGTCGTATCTCCTCCTCAACGAAGCAATATCGATGACTAGTTACAAAAGCAATTATGTTAAGCAAGTTACGAGGATGAACATAGGCCATAAAAATTCCGGGTTTCTTTCATGAATTTCCCGAAAAAGCCAAAAAAAACCTCGAAAAAATGCAGTTTTTGGCCCATATCTCGGAAACCAGACCACTTAGCGACTTGAAACATGTACCAATCGATTCCTGCCATAATTAAGAACAATATTGCCGAAGAAAGTTTTTAAAAATATCCTTTCGTTCGGTCACAAAAATTGTTTGAATTAATTAAAATTTGGACCGAATTAGTAGGCATGTTTTTCCAACCACACCACACGCGTCATCACGTTCAATAGCTGCGCCATCACGTTCAATGGCTGCGACATCACGTTCGGTAGCTAGGCGCGCAATGGTTTTTAGTCATGTTACTCTATTGTAAATAAAACATGTAAAATAATGAAATTTTTTTTAATAAAAAACGTTTTAATAACTAACCAATGGTTTTACTAACCCTGCTCTTGATTAACGCTACGACAGAGCTATTTTTAGATAACATAAGGAAATTGCGCTAAAATTGTCACTAGACTTTTTTTAATTACTTGTTTTATGCATAGTGTACTTGAAGTATGCTGGACGTGGATGGCGCACTTGCAAATGTAGAACCAACATTTGATAAGAATCTTATGTTCTCAGATCGTTTTAATTAATTTAATACACCTGTAACACCACTAAAGGAAAAATAAACAATAGCTTTATTATCGTCAAAGGCAAGTGCATGTACTTCCCTTTTTATAGATTACTTTAAACAGACTTGCACGATTACATTACAATACTTTCTCTATACTAATCTATACTTCGTATTTGAGAAAGTAAAAAGCGTGCGGCGTCAAAACGGCCAATGACAAAACAGCCCCGTCAAAACGACCCCGACAAATCGGCCCCGACATAAGAGCACCGTCACATCGACCCCGTCAAAAGGGCCAGCGACATATTGACCCCGTCATATAGGCTACCGACAAATAGGCTCCCGTTATATAGACTCCCGACAAAAGGGCCCCAGTCAATAAGGCTCCCGATATATAGGCTACCGTCATTTAGTTTCTCGACAAAACGGCCCCCGTCATTACGACTTCCGACAAATAGGCTCCCGACATTTAGTTTTTCCACAAAACGGCTCCCGTCATTTCTATTATAAAAAATAAAGCCTGCCGAACAAGAGATGCATCAGTTGTATTACTTAAGAGTGTTGGATGGATAAGCTAACTTATTGATGAAGGGGTCCCACTGGCAGTTGTCAAATTCAACTGTTTTGCCGGGAGACAGTTTCTACGGAAATCATATTGTCATTGGTCCTTTTGTTGGGAGCCAAATTGTCAAGAGCCTATTTGTCGGGAGCCAATATGTCGGGAGTCCATTTGTGGGAGTCTATATGTCGCGAGTCAGTATGACAGGAGCCAATAAGTCGGGGCCCTTTTGACGGGGCTATTTTGACGGGGTCGTTTTGTCGGGGGTAGATTTCAGAGTTTCTTCCAGACATCTCTTCGGGGGGGGGGGGGGGGCGCCCCCCCCCCCCCCCCCCAACGAAATGAAATTTATATAATTTATATAGAAAATATATACTTTTAACAGTGTCCGCCCCCCCCCCCGAAGAAAGTCTACCGCCCCCCTTCCCCCCCCCCCCCCCCCCCGAAAATGTCAAGTGCTTCCCCCCCCCCCCCCCCCTAGATAATCAACTGTGTCTATTATTTGTTTTATGTAGGCCTAATTGTAATGGCATACATTTTAACAAAACTTAAATACAAGTAAAAAGCAATCGATCATTTACGGCTGTTAAAAGCATAACAACACCACTATCAATGTCAGAGTCAGTAGTCAGTTTAGTAGCTATAGATAGGGTCTAAATCTCAGTGATAGCAACACTTGTTTGTGTTAGTGTGTAAATCTATGACTAAAACTAAACAAATCGCGGATTTTTGTTGATAAGCAATGAATTTAAAATATTAACGTGCATCTGCTGAGACAAAACTTTGAAATTTGAAAGTATGATTTTTCTTTAAAAATTTCAAAATTAAATTTAAAATAAAATTTATAAATTTCGTCATTTTCACTTGACACACTGTGACTGTTCACTTAGAATAGATCTAGATCTAGATCTACAACTTGTTACAACTTCACATTGGTGTTAGGCTGTTACTCTGTTAGGCTTCCAATAGAGCTGGGTAGACTCAGACTCCAGAGAACTGCTTCAGGCTTAAAATCAAGTAGAATCTAGATCTAAACAAAACTGAAACCTTTTTGGAGCTAGATTCTAGATCTAGAGTCTAGATCTAGATCTTCTGTATGGTCGAAACTTGGGTCTTGGTGTATGCATTATTTAATTTAATTTAGAGCCAAGCAATTAAGCTAAGGTGTGAAAATGGGATGGTGTCAGTGTAAAATATGCACAGTACAATCTAACTAACTAAAGTAAAAAAAAAACTAGTTGCAAGTTAGGTTGTCATGTAATATGTTATGTAACTAAACTGGCCTCCTTATGCCAGAGTGTTGTGGCACACAGATTGAGGAAGCAATGAGAACAAGTAGCCTCTAAAAAGCATGGTGATTTTGGTCTAAAAATATAGCTGGTCATAGGTTGTGATTACTGGTCTTTGATTAAGCATGGTTAAAATAAAGTATTTAGTATTTAGCATACAACTGTGATTCAAAGCAGCTGTTTTCTTACATGAATACAACACCATGTTTCTGTTATTCCTTGTATTGTAACATTTATTTGCACACAAAAAAAGCATGCTAATTCATAGCAGCAATTTACTTTTGCCCTGAATCATCCATTTCAATTATTGGTTTGATCAACTTTTAATTTTTAACCAATATTTATACTTGTTTTTTTACTCAGCATGCAGTGTATATGATAAAAAACTCTTCATGTGAAAATGGCATCCACTTTTGCATCCGTACGCCGTAAAGTTCCATATGTGGTATCTGGCATTAGTACATGTTACTGCACTTTTAGATTTATATGTGGACTTGGAAAGGTATAGATTTGATTACTAGTCTGTAATAATTAATTTCAAAATGTTCACTATGGTAATATTTTTACATAGTTATGTTGTTTTATGTGAGTTTATATAAATTATATATATATTTATATACAGTGTGAAGATGTTTCCATGGAACCTACAATTCAACATGGTGATTTAGTACTCATATCACCATATTATGTAAATCATCAACTTTTACAAAAGTAAGATTTTTTATTACTCTCTCATGTGTTTAACCGTTTTTATTTTAACTGCTATCTTAAAATCTTGAAAGTAATTATGTAAATTTGTAGTAAGATATTTTCACTTTAAGATAAGTTTATATTTAATTCATCACAGTTGATTTTTTTCTTAAAAGTAAAACAAAATTATTTTAATCAGTAAACACATTTACAAAGCAGAAGATGCAATTTTGTCAATGAACTAAACTATTGTTTAAAATATAAATGGATTTTGTATTAATAATTTGAATTGATATATTATTGATTTTTGTTGACTTTTTGTCTAATCAGAGGAGATGTTGTCTTTTGCCGATCACCAAAGAATCCTAGAGCTATCATTTGTAAACGTCTTGTTGGGATGGAAGGAGACACTGTGTATAATGATGAAAAAGGATTTGAAGAATATGTAATTTTATTTTAAAATAAGAATATTAATAGTTTGTTACATTGAAGTCACATAATTTTCCTTGAAGTATATCAATAAATCTAAATGCATTAATATCAATGTTTCAGCATTGACTGACTTATATACTAGATATTTCTCTCTTTTTTTTAAAAAAGGTTGATAAAGGACAGATATGGTTAGAGGGAGATAACAAATGTTGCAGCATTGACTCTCGTACATTTGGACCTCTTCCTTATGGCCTTCTTATTAGTAAAGTTGCTCTTCGGGCAAGTATTAAGACACAGATAATCAATTCAAGAATTTGTATGATAATTTAAAATATTCCTCCTGCCCTACACACATCTGCTTGTGAGATAAAAAAATATCCCTCCTGCTCTAAGCACATCAAATTTTAGATACAATATCTTTGAAATGTTTTTTAAATGTGACATTAGACCATATTCATTATGTTGATGTCATGGATGTATATCTTGTTACAGCTGTGGCCACCAGAAAGATTTGGATTTCTAGAACTACCTAAGCGGTTTCGGATGCCACCACCTTGTTCAACATGAATTATGTCATTTGATAACTTAACCATCACTCAAAGAATGAAGTGGAAGTTGGATGCTTTTTTAGTTATTTTTTATATTATAAATGAAGAGTATTGAAGTTTTTTTTTTAAGCATAATTTATTCTGTGATGTCTGATGCTTTATGGCAAAAACAGGTCAGGTGTATTAGTTATTTGATAAACCAAGCCTATTCTACCTTTTTTTTTTTGTTACACTTTGGGCTTTGGAATACAACTCAGAAATGGATTATTAGATTATACTTAAACGGTTTGCTCTTTAACAAAATACTTAAAACATTTATATACTGGTATATTAAACTGAATCATAACTAAATACATATAAGTAAAATGATTTGCTTAAAGACTAATGTTTCTGTTACATTATATAAAATGACTACAAGTATTTTGACATGCAACTCCAATGTATATATATATATATATAGCATGTCTTCTGTCTGTGACAGTATAATTATGCCTAGTTTTAAAACTGTTTGATTAAAAAATTTATAACTTATTTATCATTTGTTTTTCTCATTTCTTACAATTTGACAAAGTAAACAAACGCAAACCCAAAACATTTGCTTTGCATATTTAATTCTTTCAGTAAAAACATATGTACATAAATTTGGTGTGTATCATTTAACTTGTCGTAACTCCTTGTAAAAATACAAATTAAAAAAATTTTAGTTGATAAGCAGTCTGATGAATTAAACGTGAAGAGGCAATGGCTTAAAACATAGTATAAATGCAATTTATATTTAGCCGGAGATCAAATGTAGTAACTGCATTTTTAATAAATGTAAATAGGTTGTTTTTTTTTTTTAATAAGAGGTATTTTAGTTCTCAGCAATAAATATGAGTATCTAAGAGGTGATTCTTTTACATTTATTATAAAATACCATTTTTTCATAATTATATAATTTATTACATTTAGTGGTTCAAAGGTATATCATGATTTAGGTTACTACTATTAATTTAAAAACTGTTTATTTATATAAACATTTCTGGAGCCTAACATATAATGTGAGTTTAAAAATTTGTGATTTTCCATATCGTTGTCTGGGATAAAGTAAACTATCACTAGAAATATAAATTTCTTTATACTATTAAATTGACCAATAGTACCAAATTAAGGATTTCTAATAATTCAATGAAACTTGATAATTTAATATCATCAATTAACAATTTCTACAGAAGTATAATTAATGTTTTCAAATCTTTTTCTGGTCTGATTTAGCAAAATTCTTGTCCTGTTAAAATTTACAGTACAATGTTAGCAATTAAAGAAAAATATACTCTCTCCAACACCAAACAATTCTTAAAATGTTAGAAATGAACTTTTCCATTTAACCATAATAAATCTTTTCTGACACATGCATGATGTGAACTGAAATCAGATAAAAATGGATGACATATTTTCATTTTTTTTACATTATATACATTATGGATAAGTCAATCCAGTTTTTAATTAAAACTACATAAAAACGTGTGCTGCTACCTCTAGAAAAAAATATCAAAGGCCTCGATGTATATCTTTGTAAACAATAGAAATTGTCAAAAGTTCTGCAATTATTGTTAAGCCCATTTAATAAAATTTTTAAAACACTACAAATGTACCACAAGAGCAATAATCTCAAAACATTTAAACTACATTTCATTTTAAATTCCTTTCTAAATTCCAGTATCACAAGTAAGCTGGGGTGACAAATAAAAATACTTATTTATTACATCAGTAATTATATTAATAGCGGGAAAAATTCTTTTTTACGTCTGAAATATTCTGTCAGTCGAATGCTTGCATATCTAGTAGGAAAAAATATAATAACATTAATAGGACTTTATAGAGTAATCAAGTAAAGACTATTGTAGTTTAAAAAGTAAATTTGTATAAGTCATTGTGAAAAAAAAAGATTTTTTAAAAATATACACTTACTGCACATAATTAAAATTAATAAGGGAGTGCTCTGCCTGTATAAGGGCCCACACACCCCAAAAAAAATGGGCTGCCTGAAATTGAAGCATTGAACATTTAAATCTACGCCAATATTTTTTCAATAGCCATCATTTAAGTATTTATACTGCAGCTGTACTTTCATAGTCACCAGTTACATAAGCTTACAGCTTGCTAATTGTTAAAATGTGCATTTCTTTAAAAATGAAAACCAAGTTATTTTAAGATTAATCATATTTCTGATGTTTTAACTTCATTCTAATTTAATGTCCTTAGTTTTGATTTTAAATGTTTTATAAAAACTATTTGAAATGTTACATCTTTATTCCAATAACTTACACAAGCACATTTGTTTGTTTGTACATACAACACTTGAACATCTCTGTCTGTAACTGTTGCACTCCCTGATCCTGTTTTACTTGCTTTGACTTCTAGATAATGTCTTAACCATGGCAATTGTTCCTCTTTGCTGGGGTACAGGTCATAGTTTACCTCTTCCATGCCTGAAAAAGATATAAATTTGTAGTTACACTAATATAAAATTTACTATTTTATGTGGTATTAGTTACCATTATATAATTAAACATTTTATTTCAGCCTATAATATTTAATTAAAAGATAATTATATTATACATCTTGGAAAATCTTCAAATTAAGAAAATTGTACCAAAGTTAGTTTTCTGGAGTAGTCTCCCTTCTCTAAAAATAATTTAAATAAAGAGTGTTCCCCCTTTAATAGATGACCCTGCCTAATTTCTACTAATAAAATAACTGAACCAATCAATTACACAGGCCTAACAATTTTAAGATAAATGTGTTTCTTATCTCCATAAACTTTAACCCTTTTAAACTAATTTTAATACTAGGAGATGTCTATTATATTTTTTGAGGTGTTAACAAGGGAGGTTCTATTATTTAAACTTTGTGGACATAATGAATAGATATCCTCTATTACCTGCATACTCAGCAAAATGATTCCCTATATCAAAAGCTTCATAATTATAGAAGGCATATTCATAGTCAATAAAACGAATACTTCCTGTAAAATAAAAAATATTCTTATTCTATTTAAATGACAAAAAAATAATTCTAAAATACAATACAGCATTTGGATGTGATTACTCATATGTAACAAAAATTAACTTTCTAATAATAAACTGGTTTAATTGAATTAGAAAAAGGTAATCAATGGGAAAAACATTGTTATTCAGATCAGTTGAGACTGTACAAGAAAGAAGACAAAGTTAAAAAAGATTATTTTTCAATTACCTTCTTTTTCATTAAATATAATGTTTTTAAGTAGAAGATCATTGTGACTAAACACTGAATTCATATTAAGGGCGTCTAGTGTCTCTGCTATTTCATCAAGCTCTTTTATCAAATCTATTTTTGAAGGAATCTCATTTATAAATCTGTTGGTATAAAACATGTTTTATTTTAATTTTTTTATTTTAAAAAATTGTATAACTTTGAGCAATTATTTAAAAACAAAACAATACTACTAATTACAAAGCAAATTATAAGTGTCTATTACTGACTATGCTTCAGCTAAATACCTATTCAACAAACACCACATTTTAAACTTTTTAGAAAATAATAAAATAACCCTAACCCTTTGTAATTATACTGAGCTTGAAAGTATGGCCTAGAAGTTGAGCCCTAGACTGCCAAATGGAAATTCTCAAGTTTGAATCTAGGTTCAAGTCAGTAAAACATTCCTGATGAGTGCCTAACTAAAACAAACAAAAAATAAAGGCAGCTGGGCATAGTGCTAACTACACTATCCCTTCATAGGCAAAGGTGAAATAAACAGGTGAACTCTACTTCACTTGCCATATTGACTGAAAAGGTTCAAAAAGGGAACCTAACTGTACAGAGCTTATTAAATTTGTGAATTTTCCACAATGAAACACATTTTAATAGGTAATATATACTTGAAGAGGGCAAAAATGCTAGCTTTAACTGTTTTCAAAGATTTATCAATAATGTATCAGGCTTTAAGTTTATATTTGTCACCATGCTTTATGTGAACAAAGGGGAATAATAAAAGAATTAAGCTTAATGAAATGGGTTATAAACAGAACTCTTAGCAGACTATAAACATGTCAAAATGTTATTCACGTACACCTGCTGTTTAACTGGGTCATCAAACCCTGTTGGGGCTGCATTAATCCAAGATAACACACGCTCTTTGTATTGTGATGGGGGAGATCCTTGAAATTTAAGAGCGTAAGAACCTTGAACACTGTGTAACCTAACCAGCTCTTCTGCTATCAGCCTGATCAATATAAAAGAAGAGAAACTTTTTAATTATATGTATTGGTGCTAAGAGTTTTCTGACAAATTAATTTCCCCATTCCCTTCTTGAATAATTTGTCTATGGAAAGTTAAGAAATTAGAAATTCAAAGTAAATGTACTGATTTTACAGCATAGAAGTTTAAATATGCACTTAAATTAATTTACCAGAGATTATATTATTTGATAGGCCTATATATCTTTCTTATTTCAGAAATTATAAATTACTTTTAGAACAGAATACAAAAATCATTTTAGATCTATTTTTTTAATTGATATCAAACGTATACCTTTGAATTTTTGGTTCCCTTACAGTTTTTTCATCTAACGGGACACCAGGAAAAAAGCCATATGCCATTCCATTTTTGAAAACACAATATACTGGGGGCGCACAGTCTGCTTCACTCAACACACGGAAGGCATCCTGCTCTTCAGCCCTGTTAATAATAATATCTGTCCCTTCACCGTTAACCCGCACAAGTACCATGGTGCTTTCATCATCTTCTAAATAGCAGCCCAGTAGTTTATTTGTGATACCATCTGTAAATACCTAAAATTTAATTTTAATAAAATATACATGAAATTGGTACTCAGATAAGTACTAATATAATAGGCCAATCTATTAATAAAACAATAACGCATTAATAACCAAATTTTAATACACTGGTACCTCTTGATATGAATTTAATTCATCCTGTAACATTGCTTGAATGCTTCATTCTTCACATCACAAAGCAATTACATGAAATGTCATTGATCCATTCCAACCCAAAAAGGCCACCCAGATGTATTTGTTATGTATTTTTAATAAAAATATATTTATAAATAACAAAATTACATATAAAGGAGAATGTAAATTGTAAAGAAATAAACTGGTTTTATAAAGTGCCTTTTTATTGGAAATCAGCTGACTTGTAGATCTAGACCATAAAACGAGCTTAACAACTAGATCTAGATTTATTAGAGCACAGTTGATCTAATCTAACTAATAAAAAATATAAGCAGCAGCCAAATAATAATAGTATTTAAGTATTAAAAACTATTAGGCTAAGTTTAGGGCCCACTAGTACTAGATCTAGAACTTATATGTAAACTACCTTGACTACCTTAGGCCTTAGTCACTAAATTAAAAATTAAATCAGCACTGACAGCAGCTTTTGCTAAACTAAAAAGCATTAAAGCTGGTCTAATAAAACAGAATAACTTATGGACTTATGATACTAGATCTAAATTGAACTTTATTGTTGTATCAACCAAACATTTTAAAATAGATTAACTATATTATATTATAACTAATACTAATTTCCTAATTACTAATATAGACCTGTCTTAATTTCTAAAACTATTCTAGAACAGTAGACATATTAATATTATTATCATGATCTAGATCTAGGTTACTCTAGTAATTAATTAGTAATTAAATTATAATCTAGAGTCTAGATCTGGTAGTACTGGTAGCACATCCCCCCCCCCCCTCCCTCCCTTTAGTGTAAAACTTAAACTGGTCTTAAACGTATTAAACAGTAAAGTAGTGTAGGCCTTTAGACTTAGAGTAAGTAGATCTAGAATCTAGGTATTATTAAATAATTATTAATTAATAATAATAATTAAGTACTAGATCTAGATCTAGATCTAGGCTAGGCCTATATAATAATCATAAATAATGCCTATATTAATTATTATATTTTCTTACTTTGAACTTAATTTTGCTGTCTTCCCAATCAGGTCTAATGCGTTTCAAAATTTTCTTTGCATCTTCTTCGAAAAGTGTATAATCGACCGATAAATCAATAAATAAAACTTCACGGCTCATTTTAAAACCTTATTAATTTATTAAAGTCTGATTCTCGATTGTGACATAACCGTGACAAGTTTACATGTGGCAAAACGCAACAACCTTACAGTTTTGCTCTCGCGAAAGACCAATCAGCGACTTGTCGCGAGTGTCAGAGGTTAGATTGCACGGGGGGATAATCTGATTGGATAAAGTAGGGCTAGCCCTATGTCTAGGCCTACCATGCGAAAGAAACTAGGCCCAAGGTCTCGGTAACATTACTATTACTTCTAACTAAACACGACTGCTTGTGCTATATCTAATCTATGTATCTATATGTAATTTAGATCTAGATCTATAGTAGATCTATATATAAATGAAAATACAACGTTCATCCGATCGCCATGAAACTGGAAGTTGTTGAGAAGACTTCTGCGATTAAAAAAAAATTCGGAGTGGCGGCACCCCGACAGTAGAGTGCTGTTTAGCGCGCAGATTTTCTTAGCACCTGTGATCTTCTGATTTGGTCATTCTGTGCAGGTGTTACTTGATTCAGCAGTCAACCTATATCAGGGGCATTAGTGTGACTCTAAGCGCCCCGAAATCCCAAGAGCACTATGGCGCCTACGTTCGTTTTCAAGAGTGCCATACACTGTTGGCTCTTATAATATCTGTAGAGTTGTCTTTTGGCGTCTCGGCGATCGAGTACGGATTGGCGCCTGAGTTTTTCCATGGCTACATGGGGGAAACACAGTTTTTTTTTTTGCCTATATTTATACTTGTGCGTTGTGCTCTTGTATTTTTCAACTCCATGCAGCTTATGAAAATGAAAGTGTTCTCTCATTTGTGCCGGTACTAGACCAGAATTGCTCAACTTGACATAGCAAGTTAATTTAAATTATGCAGTGAGGAGGCTGACTCACATCACGTTCCGTTATACATGTGAATCCATATTGTACATATTAGTGGGACCACTTTATTATTATTTTTTTTGCTCCACATAGTATAAAGGGGTTAAAAGATTAAGAAAGAAATTGCACGACTTATCATCCCGACAGTCACAAGTCGACTACTTGGCAACGTATATACACGATCAGCGCGCGCTTGTATAGGGGTCATCCATAAATGACGTCACGCTTTTTGGACGATTTTTACCTCCTCCCCCCCCCCTCCCCTACGTCACACGTCGTCATAAAAAGCCAGACCCCCCTAAAATGACGACACACCTCAGCCTACACCCCCTCCCCTCAAAATTGCAGTTGAATGTTTTTAAAACATCGATATTTTTCTAAAATCTTGTTTGAACTATGTCAAAATGGAGTATTTTAATCAATTCCTATTACAATTTATTAAAACAGTTTTCTAAAACGCGCATAACGTCTAAAATTCGTTTTCTAACATTGCTTTTTTTTATAATGCAAAAGTGTGACGTCGCACCATCTGAACCCCCTCCCCCTCCCCTCATTACACGCCGACACAAAATTACGTACCCCCTCCCCCTACGAGTGTGACGTCATTTATGGACGACCCCATAGGTGGCGTTGACAAAATTCGTTGCGTGTGTGTCTTGACGTCAATGGTTGCACGTTATTAAACATCATGATACCAATAGGTGTTATCTATGTCGCGCTGTCATATTTGAACGGTCATTGGCCGCGACCGATAGTTCTGTTGTCCACACTGACAAAAATCCGATCGCAAATCATATGAGTAGAATGTGCATCTTGACCTTTACCGAACCCCTAAGATTGACTTACCGAGCCCTTGCACATGGTGTTCGAATGAACCCAAGCTAAGAACCACCGATGTAGACAACCAGCCATGGCCGAAGCCCCGCTGTGAACATAGCAATAGGTTAGGGGTCGGCAACCTTTTGAGACGGAAGAGCCAAAAGTTACAATTTATAAAATGTCCCAGTTTTATAAAGAGCCACATTATTATTTCAATATTAGGGCATTTGAATAGGATTATGTAAATAAATTTGATTCAAAAGCATGGAATCATGGAGTTGTTGCCACGTGGCGGTCTAAAGCACGTCTGTCCACAGCACGGCTGTGGTGCTGGGCGTAGCGACCCTTCCCGGCGTCCAAGGACGAACTTTCGATTTGCACCCACCCCCCTCAAACTTTCGATTTTTGCACCGCCCCCCCCCCCCCTCAAACTTTACATTTGCACCCCCCCCCCCCATCAAACTTTCGATTTGCACACCCCCCCCGAACTTTCAATTTGTTTTTCCAACCCTTTTTGGCGCCCCCTAAGGTCGGCGCCCGGGGACATATGTCCCCCCCCCCCTCACTACGCCTCTGAGCCCAAGCAGCTGTCAGCTGTCTACTCTCTACTCCACCTATTTTTACTGTTCTCTGATGAGTGTTTTTATCTTGTTTAAAGTTGTTTTTCGTTACAGTTTAATATTTTTATGAGTTTTGAAAATGAAATAAAATAACTTAATATTTGTGCAAGGAGCTGGAAAGCCGCATCTTGACATCAAAAGAGCCGCATGCAGCTCGCGAGCCGCAGGTTGCCGACCCCTGCAATCGGTGATCAAATCCTAACGGTAATGTGGACAAACTACATATGGTCAAACGACAGATGGACAAAACAAGTGTGGTCAGTCACTCTATAATGACAGGTTGAGGAGCTAGGGGCATCTATTTAAGTGCTCATCGTCTAAATTCATGATTTTAAAAATAATAATATTTAAGGTGTTGTAAAACAATTTTCATTTTTCAAACTTATAGTGATAATTGTCGGCATGTCCATCAAACAAAATGTTTAAGCAAATTATCACCTTTTACAAAAATTCTAATTGTGTCTGAACTAAAAATTATTTACATATAGTTCTTTAACACTTATTACGTCCCTTGATGAATTAGGAAAACACAATTACTTCCATGTATAAAACCAATACATTAGGGGGAAGGGGGGGGGATTTACTTTTTATTACTTTGTTTTGGTGTTATGAAAAAAAATACATACTTAGCGGAGATTGATCAAGTGCAATGTGGTAGGTATTTAATATACAGCCTTTTATTTATTTCATGCACTGAACGTACTGTTTACTAATTATTTTTTAAAATCATAACGGTTAACAAGCCAGCTCATAAATGTCCTCTATGTTTACTTATTTCCGTTTGCGGTTAAGCTTGGGGTATTATAATTGTTCACTAAATTAAAACAGACCCTGTCAGGGTTCGATTTGGCGCTCTGGTCTTTCCTGTGAGCGCTATGATGCATAATTATTAATTTCGTTTTAAACAGTTTGATAGACTATGGATAAGAAAGGTTACTATAGTCTATAAGTGAATCAAATCCGGCCGTCCTCCGGCGCCCCGTCAGGGTGCTATTTGGCACCCCGGGCCTTACCGTGTTCGCTATGGCGCCTACGTTCGTATAAGTGAGTGAAAAAGACTATGAACAATTTGGGGTACTATAGTCGTTTACTAAGCTGAAAAGGCGGTTCCGCCGGCACCCCAGCATGGTGCAATTTAACAACCCGGGCTAGACTATGAGTACTTTGCGTTTGTGTTTTCTTTGTGTTTGAGTTAGGTTTGCGTTTGTGGTTGGGTTTGCGTTTGGATTATTTTCGTTTGCTTTTTTGTTTGCGGTTGTGTTTGTGTTTTTATTTTCTTTGTGTTTGTGTTTGCGTTTTATGGTTGGGTTTGTGTTTTCGTTTGTGTTTGTATTCGTGTTTGCGTTTGTGTTATGTTTGCGTTTATTTTTGTGTTTTGGTTTTAATTGGTTGTGGTAAAGGTGGGCAATGCCGGGTATATGCTGATTACTAAACATACATGTCATGGTCCTTCACAGATAGGTTTTTCACAGAGGCCAGTGCAGGGCCTGGCCGGGACGGCTAGTATTTTATAAATTAAAGCACTTAGACCCATTACAACACCGGTCCAGACGGCCCATCGGGATTTTTCCTGGCGGCCCACCGGAATTTTGCCCGGCGGCCCAGATCACCCAAGCTGGTGTGTATAGGCTACTAGTGTAGGCTAAGTTGAGAACAAAATCTTCTAGATAAAAATCGTGACTTATTAACATTTAACTAAGCAGCTGTTACAATCTAAATCAATTGATCGCAAAAGATAAATCACGACAAGCTTGTGCATTGTTACAAGGAATGAGTACAGAGTTATTCAGAATAGCTTGAACTAAAAGCGCGTCGGTGTCGCCCAATTGTTTCTAGACTCCGATTCCTTTGTGTGTAGCCTGGTTTGTAATGAAGTGATTTGATAAACATAAGTGATATTTTTCAGTTGGATGCAAGAACAAAAAGACGTAATTAGTATTGTTTGGCGACATGTGTTTTATTTAGTTCTAGTCCACCTTAAACTAACTTAAATTTGATCATTTTTCTTGTTATTTTAATATATATATATATATATATATATATATATATATATATATATATATATATATATATATATATATATATATATATATATATATATATATATAATATCTTAAATGGTAATTTTACTTTGATATATTTTAAGGCCATGTCTTGTAAGTTAAATAATTAATTTTATGGGCTGATACATGTATTCAGAGTTTCTTCCTGGCATCTCTTCGGGAGGGCTCCAACCCCTCCCCCACCCCCTCCCTCCCCCTTGAAAAGAGTCTATCGACCCCCCCCCCCCCCCCCCCCCGAACGAAATGGAATTTATATAGAAAACATACTGTTACCAGTGTCCGCCCCCCGGAAAATGTCCCTCCCCCGCCCGAAAATATCAAGTGCCTCCCCACCCACCCCCTCCCCCGCCAGGAGAAAAATGTCTGGAAGACACACTACTTGTATATTCAAATAAACAGAAAGTGAAATTTCAACGCCAAGGGTAGACAAAGGTACAGAATATTAACATAGTCCCCTCTACATGCTTGTATAGTCAATATATCGGCAAATCCACTGGTATGTTATATATCTAAGGTCACATGATGCTATTAATCTTTTTGCAAGAAGTAACGCCGTACACTTGTGATACGGTGGGCAACTACAATCGATGACTAAAAGTCTAAATCAAAGCAGGGGCGTTTACTAGCGCCCCAGTGGCACAAGACTAAATTATATTTTTAAATATAATTTTACGACATTTAACTATTTTACGACAATGTTCAACCGTCAGTTGTCAAGTGCAAAACTTCTTCCTTTGGCGCTGCACGAGGACTAGAATAGTCATCAACCGCATATTGCGGATTACCTTTCTTAATTTTCTGTGATAATTTCGACTCAGTAATCACAATGGAAGTTGGGAAACTCGTCGAGGTACTCCGAGCTACTCTGGATCCAAATCAGCGTGAGCAAGCCGAGCAACAGCTTACCGAGGTACAAGTTCTGTTGTTACTGTTTTTGGCTAGTCTGTCACTGGTTTAAAAAAAAAAATTTTTAGGCCCTAAATAAAAAAAAATTGACTTGACTAAGCTAATCAATCTCTAATCCAGATCTAGAATAATCTAGTCTAGATCCCAGTAGTGGGTGTGGGGAAATTGCGAGACGCGAAAAGCGAAATGGCGAGGCGGGAAAGTGCGAGAAGGTAATGCGAGACATACCTGCGGAATTAAGGGTAAATAGCGAGACACGGTAAAAGGTAAAATCTTAGTTTAGCGTCGTAAATTCGGCCAAAACTAGTAATGGGGGAGAGAGTGAATTAATGAATATGTCATTAAATAGGTACTAGGATTTGGCTCCCGTTTTACGATGCGCGGCGAGATTTTCCTCCCGTTACCCAAATATCGAGAGTTGGCGGACGCGCGAGTGCGAGTGTTTCGTAATTTTTATTATTCTCCGTTTTTGCCTGGTCAATTTTATTGCGAGGAGTATTATTTTGAAGAAAAATGGACTTAGCGTATTATATATTTTTAAAAAATATTTTCATGGACTATTTTTTATGGAGTGTTTCATTGAAAATAAGGTAAGTTTGACTTATTCCCTAAACTTCTCTATGGGCTCTACTTGAAATTTTATTGCATAATCTCCATTATTATCCATTTTTCTCTATTACTGTAAAAAATCGTAATGATTGGATGTGTCTCTTAGCTGCAAAACGCTTCACAGTTTGGTGTACTGTTTGGGACTTTAACTGTTTACAGACTGGAAGTGAAAGTGAACCGGAAGTTGTCGGGTCTCGCTACTAACACTTGTGTGACTTAGTCTAGCTTATATGCTTGTATTACTGTAATTACGATTGTGGCGAACGCTGTTTTGACTCGGGCGATAGTGGCGAACGCTGTTTTGATTCGGGCGATAGTGGCGAATGCTGTTTTGATTCGGGCAATAGTGACAAACGCTGTTTTGACTCGGGCGATAATGGCGAACGCTGTTTTGACGCCGGCAAAAGTAGCGAACGCCTTTTTTATTCGGGCGTTAGTGGCGAATACTGTTTTGACTCTGGCGCTTACGGCGAACGCTGTTTTGACACTGGTGATAGTACCGAAGGCATTTTTTACTCGGGCGTTGGTGGCGGGCGATGTTTTGACAATAGCGATCGTTGTTTTGACTCTGGCGATAGTGGGAAACGCTGTTTTACGCAGGCGATATTGGCGAGCGCTGTGTTGATGCTGGCGATTATGTCGAGCGTTGTTTTGATGCCGGCGATAGTGGCGAGCGTTGTTTTGACGCCGACGAGCGTAGTTTTGACGCCGGCGATAGTGGCGAACGTTGTTTTGACGCCGACGAGCGTTGTTTTGATAGTGGCGAGCGTTGTTTTGATGCCGGCGATAGTGGCGAGCGTTGTTTTGACGCCGACGAGCGTAGTTTTGACGCCGGCGATAGTGGAGAACGTTGTTTTGACGCCGACGAGCGTTGTTTTGATAGTGGCGAGCGTTGTTTTGATGCCGGCGATAGTGGCGAGCGTTGTTTTGATGCCGGCGATCGTTGTTTTGACGCCGGCGATAGTGGCGAACGTTGTTTTGACGCCGACGAGCGTTGTTTTGATAGTGGCGAACGTTGTTTTGACGCCGGTGATAGTGGCGATCGTTGTTTTGACGCCGGCGATAGTGGCGAGCGTTGTTTTGATATTGACGGTAGTGAAGGGGGGGGGGGGGGGGGAGAAAGGAATGTCTGGTATTAACAATACACATTAAATATTTGGTGTATTCAGAAAACCTTTTTATTTTGATGGGAAGGCAAATAATGTACTTGTACTGTTTACTTTTCCAGGTAGAACCTACACTTCTAAAACCAGCACATCTCTACAATATGATAAGCAGTGATATGGCCTAATGTCAGTTATATGGTCTAATGATGGAACACTATGTAAACGAGAAATTAAAACTATTAAAATAAATAATGTGTTTATCTTTTATTTAGGCAAACTAATTAATTTGTGATATGAACTATTTCCTTTAAAAACCAACCAATGTTGAACTTCTCCTGAAATGTAATATATTAACGAATAAGCAGAAACACATCTTTTTAAATTAAACTATATATATATAAGTATACCAACGTTTATTACATTTATACGAATAAAACACCTTACATTTCTAATAGATATAATTTGCCTTTTTTTTTTAAAATTTAAATATATGCGCTCAGTTTTTCAATGATGTCAGGTGTGTCGATGACTCAGCATTTTACATTTTTACCATCCTTTACCTATTTGTCAACTATTTAGATAGAACCATCAAACACACTTATTTTAGAGCTTCACTCTAGTTAGCTGTTAGCTTTAGATTCAAATAGATTGAGCCTAAACAAATAGTGTATGAACAAATTTCATATTTAAAAATAGGGGGTGTACCCTGTTCCACCCCTTATTTTTTGCCAAACAGATAGATTTAAATACATATTTTGATTGTTTCTGTTTGAGAATAGAGTCATCTAGAGCCAGGCAAATTTTGAGACTTAAGTGCTTAATAACTCAAATTTGCCATCATGTTGCATTTCACATCAACAAGACTTCGGTTTTGTGAAATTGTATAATTTATCAGCTTTGTAGCAGTTAAAACAAAAATCTTTTCAGTTATGAATATTATTTTGATTGTAATAACTGACACATCCATAGCTCATCATTCTCAGCAAGTTTGAGCTTAATTTTTCAAAGTGTTAAAATTTTAACTGAGATTTTATGAATGCACTGTATATGAAAAAATAGGGGGGGTACCCTGTTCTACTTCTGTTTTTGGTTAACTCTGCCCATAAATTTCTAATTTTATTGTTTATTATCCTTGCATATATGATAGATAAAGATATTGCAAAGTTATAACCAATTTGACCATATGGTTTACAAGCTAGGACAATTTTAATAAACGCTTAAAAAAACTCTATCACAGAAATTGGGAAAAAACCTATGTTAAAAAAATCACCTTTTTTAATACGAAAAAAAATCATAACTATTTAACCGTTTGAGCTACATCAAAAAGGAAAACTGTTCTGTTATTGTAATTTTTTGCTCCTTTTAACTGTAGTGGTTGTTTCCCTATTAAACCAATTTTCAAAATTTATCCTAGTACCTAGTCATTAAATATGAGTATATTTTCGTATATTTTGATAAAATATTATAGATAATTGAATAATAGATCACCATTTATGATTAAATCAATTTAAATATCCTGAAATTAATTTTTATCAACCCTGTTCGAGATAGTAAATTTGCTATTAAAAACAGCAACCATCTTAAGAAAATGTTATTGAGAGTAGCTTCCCTTTCATTTCTATTCGTATGAAAATGTATTTAAATATGATCGCCTTGTTGTATAGTCCATATTACAAAGCATTTTTTTTAAATGTGAATTTCCTAACAAACAACTTTATTTATTCTAGAAGCATTGTGAGATGCAACTTGTATCCATGTATTAAATCACGTTTTTTTTTTTACTAATGTTTATTTGATCTTACTATTACTATATATAGTTTGAGCTTTTTCTTATTGTTTGAATGTTCACTATTGTTCACTATTTCATTTCAGGTTTCTTTTCATCAATTAGTAATTCTATCATAACTTATGACATTTTTTTACTTCTCTTTACCTTAATTAAACCCCAACCTCCGTCATATTTTTGTCGTCAATGTCACAAGTCATAATGTAAAAAATTACGCTTCACTCTGCCTTATCTAAGATCTCTAACCATAATTTTGACAGCATTAAATGTTTGTCATCATTTATATATACAGAGAGACAAAATGTATTATCCACCAGCTTCCCTCGTAAAACATCATCTAATACAATGAGCCAGTCCACCCTTAAGTGCGTGTTGTCAATAGTCTCCACCTGCCAGACACATTTTGGTTATCCTTTGTTGTCAAATTGTCAATATCAAGTACCCAAGTGAGTGATATGGGGTTGTCCATAAATGATGTCACATATTATTTGCTACGGGAGTGAGTGAAGATTTGTGACGTCAACTCAGGCGGCTTTGCAATTTATGACGTGTCGGTCTCATGAAAGGGGGTGAACGGGGAAAAATACCTAGATGGTTGATGGAGAACCTCTATAATGCTTTGTGCAATCAAAATAACGATAAATAAGCATTAGTATACGTATACCTTGCTTAAAACGAATCATCACAAATGTTGCAAGCCTGCTAGTTTAAGACATATGGCAAAACGGCCGCAACACATTATCCCCATCAAAAAGGCTTGCCGCCAAATGCATGCCGACGAATAAGCCGCATCTAATGCGGGGCGTTAGGAATACGGCCATTAGCATGGGCCGCGTTAGAGCACCAGTAGGCTATCGCGCTTTGTAAGATGACGGTAAATACTTAAATTCAATTTTGCTAAACTGCGCGAAAATTTAGTAAAGTTCCATTGTTTGAGGACATTTATTTTCTTGGACTTAAATTGAAATATCATGTTGACTGTCTGGCTCTTAATTTCCGAATATCACTTTTAATGTATCAAGATTCAGAACTATAATTTACTTTAATATAAGTGTCATCTTATCGTTTATTGTGCTTTTTATAAAGCGCAGAGCAGCTTCAAAATCGGACGGCCATCCTGTTTTCACCAAGCTTCATTTGGAGCTTAATATGGGTAGTCTAGTTCTATACGGTGAGAGCTTAATACATTTTTAAAGACCGAAAGTCTCAAGACAGCAAGCTTGCAGATATTATAACTACGTACGTTTAAATGGACGAGTGATAGATGTGTTAGCAGTGTTTCTTCCAGACTTTTTTTCTCCGGGGGAGGGGGGGGGGGGGGCGGTAAAAAATTGTCGGGGGAGATGCCTGGAAGAAACTCTGTGTGTTAGGGGCTGTTTAATGAACACCAACTTATGTAATCAAATTTAACGTCGCAAAAGCGTCAAAAAGGCAGTGCTTGTTGTTTTTTTTATAAAATTAGCCTAACGATCGGCGGTACCGGTACATGACGTCACGTGCGAG